GGCATCCAAAATGTTCTTCAACATCCTTTTCTGTCTCCAACCCATGATTATAATATGCTGGCATATGCACTGCTGATCCTGAAGACTGAGTCCAAAAGAAAAATGAATATTCATTTTATTTATATTCAAGGACATATCATTTAGCAAGTGGTAACACATCGGTCATTTGTCCTCTTGCACAGTAAGTCATGACCATAAAGATAGATTTCTGTTGACATGAGTATGGGCCTCACTACTGTACCAGACTTTATATTTAGAGACTTGAGTTTAGATTCAGATTTAGACAATTAGAGTGGTTGAAGGATTAGGTTGGACTGAAAAGAATTCCATTTAAAATATTTTTTTGACATTTTGAAGGGGTCAATTTTCTACTCCCTAAACTTTAGTCGTCCAGTATAGTTTCCCTAATTTCCAGTCTCTCGATTTTATTTTTTTAATCAATGCCATAATGTTATTTGAAAAAAATCAAATTAACATTCCATCCCATTCGAGAAGTCATTTATGTGTAGGTACCTACATATAAACCATTGCTAGCAACCCTGACCTACATGCAGTAGTCCTGAAGGTACCAAATTGATATAGTTACATTAATACATTACTCCATTATACCCTTTATGGAGTGTACAAAGTGGTACAGAGAATAAAAAACATCTGACCACATAACATGAATGTAAATGTATCTTGGTGACATTTTTTAGGTATTATTTTTTGTATCACCTTCTTTAACATGGTAATCAGGCTTTAATGATGCAGTTTTTCTGTGTCAAAGAGAATGAATACTTTTGATGCCTTCATCAGTCCACAATCTGTTTTTTAAATTATCCATTTCATAAACTCTGTTATCAAGAAGTGCATTTTTCTTCCCTCAGCATTCTTATTTGTAGAAAAACAGATATGTCTCTAACTCTATAACTGATTTCAAGGTTTTAAAATACAAACTGTCAGATGACTTTAGTTTCAGATCACTTTCTCTGTTGAGAAAACTTCACAATATAAAGCAGACAGATTTTTGATGGTACCTTCTATGAACATCAAAACCGCCTTCTTTAATAAACATGAGATCTATTTCAAATTCCTTTTCAAAATTTTAGAGTAGTTTATTTCCTTATACACACTGATTGAGATAATCTTATTTACTTCTTTATTACCATCAGAGTAAATTGTAATTAATTATATACTCCACACGTATTTTGTAACTTTAAATTGTCTGTCCTTTCAAGGATATGCTTGATGTATTATTCAACATTATTTGTCTATAGCAAGACTTTGTGAACTCTGACATGCACCACATGCTTAACTTGCTTAAGAATAATTGCAGACATTTTATTTAGCATTAATGTACATCTTTTTGGGGTTTAATTTCAAATACGCAACTTTCTCAGTGTAACAGCACTTCATGTGCTGATAACAGTCACCAAACTTTGATTTGTATTTGTGTTTTACATTTTAATATAATTACTATGAAAGGGAATTAAAAAAAAAAAAAAAAGTAACTTGAAAATAAATTTAACATTCTTATCCATTATTTGGAAAAGCAAACTATTAAATGCTGACTGAGAATTGGAAAAAAAAAAAGAAAAAAAAAAAGAAAAAAAAAAGTAGCTAAGGTTTGCCTGAACAAAAAGGTTTAGGAGAACAAAATCTCTCTGAAAGAGTCTTTGTTATTGCAGTTTGTCCCTAGCCTGAAAAAAAAAAAAAAAGAACAGACAACATCCTCCTTTACCAGCTAGTGCATTGTTATGGATTGTTTTGGTTATGCTGGTCCCACAACTGGTAACAATGGCAATTTGTGCATGGATACATCTGAGGTAGCTCTAAAGTCCTACCTAGTTCCAACAGAGAGATGGCACAGAACAAGCTTTAGTATAGGAAAGGCATTTAACAAGTGCTAAAACTCTGGCTCTGCACTATTGTGCAGGTATCTAGTTGTGGATACAGAGATTAGGCAAATTAATGCTAATTAGGATAAGTCTACAAAAATAAACACCAATTCCAATTTTAAGGTGCATGTATCCTAAGAGTTACAGCAAAGCTTTTTTTATATATATATATATATATATATATATATATTCATAGCTAAAATACAATGGTTCTAAAAATTATCAAGAGTAAAAATGCTACTGTCTTCTAGTAATGAGATTAAAAAGAGAAACAGAAGGAATTCAAGGTGAAAATGACCCTTCAACTGGTAAAGTACTGTCTTGAGAGGGATGGCTCTGAAGTTCTTAAAAGGTTGTGAAGCCAATTTATGTATCTTCCCAAAGTAGATATGTTAAATTAAAATATAGAACAGTATATTTCCAGTACAGAGAGTGCTTTGCTGAAACGTATTGATATATGATATGCCTTATTAACAATATTATCTCTCTCGGGATATAAGAAAAATGTGGCATCGTTTTACTTTTTGAGATGATCTTGATCTCAGGTCAAATATTTTACAATAAAAATGTATGTTTTCGCCAGTAATTAAGATCATGACCACATCAGAATCTTCACTTAGTGCTGATGGAGGCTTCAACATAAAATTGTGACATTCAAAGTTTTAAATTTTTCAGCAATTTTTTTAAGATAACAAAGCATGATTAAACACTGCACAGAACAAAATATAATGATCTAACCAAGATACTACAGAAAAAAATAGCTGAATGAGTAGGGTTTGTCTTATCACTAGACTTAGAAAGTATGCAAGTATGCTGTCAGTATAATTCTAACAAGCTGTTTTACACCAAGGCATTTATTTCAAGCCCCAAGATTCCACTTCTCACTGTTAGGCATTCGGTAGGAATTATTTTGAAATGCGTTCTGTTTTAATAAGGTCCATATGCATCGTTTAACTGAAAAACAGTATTCTGCAGATTAATATCCAAGCTCCAAGGAACAAAAGTCCTTGCCTTCTGGAATAACTGGGTTAAACAATAGCCCGTTTTACGAAGTTGTGCTGCCATAACTGAAATCCAAATTTTTTAATCTTGTATTATTTCAAAGTTCAGTATGCTTCTTTAAAGTGAAGTAATACTTTCAATGGTCTCAGTTACTCAGTCTTCTGGACCTGCAGATGTGTCTTGATGTGAAAATCCAGAGCCTTTAAATTACCAGTTTACTTTAAATTGTCTCTCCTCTGCCTGTTTGATTGTGGAATAGTTAATTGTTATTGTTGATGATAATTTTGCACTTAAATAGCATTCAGAGGAAACAGAATGCACAGCAATCCATATTCAGCCACATCTGAAACTGAACCCAATAAAACCATTTAGCATAACTGGGAAAAAATCATCTAACTCAGACCCTCTTGTAATTCAGTGAAACTAAACCAGCGTGCAATGGTCAGATTTTTTGGTTGGTTTGGTTGTTTGGTGTTGGGTTTTTTTTGTTTGTTTGTTTGTTTGTTTTTGTTTTTGTGTTTGTTTTTGTTTTTTTGTTTTTTTCTAGTTTTGGATCTGCTGCCATCTAGTGGCCCCATAGTGAATTACAAATGCTGAAATACGCAGCTAAAAACTAGCAAAATATGCCTTAGGTTTGGCATACGGATTTACGGGGAAAAACCTACCTGTTTAACATACATGTAGGCCCACTTACACATAAACGTTAGAAAAAGAGTATTATTTTTTTATAGTCAGATTATATTGGCCGCTTTTCAGTTTCTTGAATTAACATCTACAGCAACAACTTTAATTTAACTTCAAATTAAAATACAATTAAGTGTGGTTTTATTTCTTATGGCTTTGTTCCATAATGTAGTATGATTTAATTATTCTATACTAGTGTATAAGCAGATGGATAAGATACGAAACTTTTTCACTTCATTGTAGTGTTCTCCCCTATTACATTTTTTCTTTTTTTTTTTGTCTTTTTTCTTCTTTTTTTTTCTTTCTTTTTTTTTTTTTCTTTTTCTGAACCTTTTATGAATTTGATACTGGAACTAAAGAGCACTCAGTTACTACAGATTCTCCAGGCTGTAAAAAACAGGGAGCCATTAATAGGTTGGTGACTGTTCAGACTGTCTTCAGAAGAAGGAGTTAATTGGGATGATAGGCTAGAAAAAGGATAAAAGCAGTTTGTGAGATGCTGTATTTTTCTGTGTTTTTAATTTTTTCCTGTACTACTACTGGCAGAGAATCTGATAATGGGATGGATAAGGTACTTAGCCAAAAAGCCTGAACTGTCAGAAGTCGGCCCATTTGCTTTGAAATGGTCAGTTTTCTCTGAGGCAAAAATAGTTTCCAGCTATGAAATGAGCAGTAGTTTAAATCTGCTTTCAATTCGTTGCGTAAGAGATTTAATTTCTCTTGAATTCTAAAAAAAAAAAAAAAAAGTTATGCCTCCAACTTGTCTCCACTCAGGACTGAATCTCAGTGGGTTACGCTGCCTTCCTGCTGCCAGGAATGGGAGCTTCTCACAGCTGAGGTACACCGGACTTCAGGCTGCAGCACTTACTGATGAACGACACAGCCTGAAGGAAAGGATAAAAAGAAGAGGAGGGAAAAAACGCAGTCCAACCGAGCGTTTCAGGTTGTTTTGTGAAACCTATAGCTGTGCAAACACCGGCCTGAGTGCTTTTGGGTCAACTACTTCAAGCAACGACTAGGCTGCCAGTTTGTGGTGGGCTGTGAGCAGGATGTCCTCTCAAGCTTGTTTCTTCCCGTGTTGGGTGATCTCTGTTTTGCGCTGTTCATTTCACTTCTCCCACCAGGTCACTGGATACCTGTGGTAACTTCAAGTCCATCTGGCTACATGGCATAGGCGTGCGGCGCTACACGCCAGGCTTACAACCACCGATTTTAAAATAACGGGTAAAAACGCAATTAATAACTCGAATATTAATACACGCATTGATAACTCGAATATCAATAAACGCATTGATAACTCCACGGGGCACCAGGGAGCCGTGGCGTGAGGCGCCCTGAGGCGCCGCCCGCTGGAATGTCCGCGGCGGCCGGGCGGAGCTGGGGCGGGCCGGGGGAGCCGCAGCCAATGGCGGCCGGCAGCGGCTGCGGGGGGAAGGGGGAGCCGGCGGCGTCAGAGCCGGGCGGGGGCTCGGCGGGGCTGCGGCGCTGCGGGGCGCGTTGGCGGCCGGGCCATGGAGGCGGCGGCCGCTGCTGCTGCCCCGTGGCCCTGGGCCTTGCTGTGCCTGGCGGCGGCGCCGCTGCTCGCCCCCGGGGCGGCCGGTGAGTGGCGAGGCGCGGGGGGCGGGCGGGGAGGCGGCTCCGCGGGGACCCCGCTCCACAACATGGCGCAGGGGCGAGGCTGGCGGCGGGGCGGGCGCGGCGGGGTCGCCCCCGGGGTTGGGAGCACACGCATGTATAGTGGTGTATAAATCTATTTTAGTAAATAGGTCGCGCTGGCAGGGCTGTCACGCGAGTGGAAAGTGTGAAAAATGTAATAGCGGAATGCTGAAAACCGCAATTGTGGAGGTGTTTGTGGGTGCACCCTATCGCTGCGCCATAGGTTTGATCTCCGCTTGTAGGGGAAAGGAAAGCTCTTCCTTGGTGGACCTGCTCACATGGCGGAGGTAGCAGAGCTCATCGGAGAAGGAAGGGTATTCATGTGCACGGTAGCTGGATGTGAATAACATTTTGAATTTAAACCTGGAGATTTTTTAGTAAAATTGGGGAAACTTGGAATGAGACAGAAAAAGACTGACTGAGAGAGAGAAGTTTTAAGATACTTCAGAAGAGATTAACTAGAGGCAGAAAGGCAGAGCTCAGGAATTGTGTTTGGAATGAATATGGCTCGTACCTTGAATTTCTGGCTTAAGGACATCGCTTTTAGCCAGTTAAATTTGCTACTTATTGAAGATACTGTAGTTTGATTAGATGATCCAAGACAGCCAGCATGGCTTCACCGAGGGCAAATTGTGCCTGGCCACTCTGGTGGCCTTCTGTGATGGAGTGACTGCAGCAGTTGACAAGGGAAGACCGACCAATGTCACCTGTGTGGACTTCTGTAAGGCCTTTGACACAGTCCAACATGACATCCTGGTCTCCAGATTGGAGGGATATGGATTTGATGGGTAGACCGTTCAGTGGATAAGAAATGGGCTTGAAGGTTGCAGAGACTGGTGCTCAATGGCTCTACGTCCAGATGAAGGCCTGTGATGAATGGCATCCCTCAAGGGTGATGGGACCTCTACAGTTTAGTATCTTTATCAACAACATAGTGAGATGGAGGGCATCCCCTTCAGATTTGCAGATGACGCCAAGCTGAGTGGTGCAGTTGATACAACAGAAGGAAGGGATGGCATCCAAAGGGACCTGGACAAGCTAGAAAAGTGGGCCCTTGTGAACCTAATGAGGTTGATCAGGTCTAAGCGCAAGGTGCTGCACCTGGGTTGGGGCAATGCCAAACAGGAATACAGACTGGGTGAAGAGCTCATTGAGAGCAGCCCTGCAGAAAAGGACTTGGGGGTTCTGGAGGATCAAAAACTCGACACGAGCCAGCCGTGCATGCTTGCAGCCCTGAAGGCCAACTGCATCCTGGGCTGCATCAACAGAGGGGTGGCCAGCAAGGGAGGGAGGTGATTGTCCCTCTCTGCTCTGCCCTTGTGAAGCCCCACCTGGAGTGCTGCGTCCAGCTCTGGGTGCCCCAGCACAAGAAGGATGTGGATCTGTTAGAGAGGGTCCAGACGAGGGTCACAAAGATGACCAGAGGGCTGGTGTACCTCCTCCATGAAGAAAGGCTGAGAAAGCTGGGGATGTTCAGCCTAAGGAAGACAAGACTGTGGACATTGCAGCTTTTGCATACTTAAAGGGGGGTTATAAAAGAGGTGGAGAGCATCTTTTTGCTCAGTCAGATAATGACAGGAAAAGGGGGAGTGGCTTTAAACTAAGGGGGGAGATTTAGGTTAGAGGTTAGGAGGAAATTCTTCACTCAGACAGTAGTGAGGCACTGGCACAGGTTGCCTAGAGAAATTGTGGGTGCCCCATCCCTGGAAGTGTTCAAGGCCAGGTTGGATGAGGCCCCAGGCAGCCTGGTATGGTGGGAGGTGTCCCTGCCCATGGCAGGGGGGTTGGAACTGGATGATCTTTAAGGTCCCTTCTAACCCAAGCCATTCTATGATTCTGTGTATACATGATTAGGATTTGTATAAAAGGAATTAAATGATCATAAGGTTTAGTATACTAGTATTTCATTGTGATGCTCTGTGGTATAATTGATAAGACTTGAAACTCAGCAGTGGAAGTGATTCAGAAGGACTAGCCTTAATGTCTGTTAATTCATAATGGGAGGGTTACCAGCCACTACAAGCTAATGGACAAAAGGTCAGAAAATACTAAATAATCGAATGTTGTCCAGGATACTCATGAACTCAAATTATAGTGGCACGTACAGTTGAATATATTCATTGGCACCTAAGCCAATGTGAATTTTCTTCATAGATTGGAAACTGAATTCTTAGTTCTTTAATGTAGCATTTACTTTCAAGGTGAATTTACGTGATTAAATTTTTTTGAGATGTATAGTGAAACAAGGCAACACAAACTGGATTGAGTAACCATTATTTCTGTTTTTAAGTACAGCTTTCAATAAGGTACATCTGGTTAGGTGGTCTGTTTTGTGGTTGTTTTTTATCCATTTGCTGGATATTTTTTTAATTATGAGCCTAACATGTTTTCTCCATCACTTTCTTAATGTGCTTGCAATCCAGTTGTTGTATGTTTCTAACACCGAGACTTTGTAACAGGAACATGAAAGTGTAAACCAAAGCTTTTCACTTCAGTGAAACAGTAAGTGAAGTTTAAACATGGTGGAACCTGCTCATCAATGTTAACTTGGTAACAAAAATTTCTCATGGTTGTATTTTTGTTTGTTTGTTTGCTTGGTTTGTTTTTGTTGGTTTGTTTGTTTTTTGAAGGAGAATTCCTCATATTATCTGTGGATCAGATACAGTGACCCGATAGGCCATCAGCTGGGTAATTCTGTTCAGAAGTGATAGTTAAGTGTTTCAAATCTTTTAAATGTCTTATTCCCTTCCCTACTTTTCCATAGGCTTGTCTTGCTGTTACCATGCAAAGGACAACCTAATGTGCCGTGATGTTTGTGAACAGGTAAGCTTGTTTTAAAATTTATCTCAGAATTAAAGTCATGCCTTTAGACAATTACGTAGCAAGATCAGTATTTTAAGTAAATGATCATCTATGTGTGAATCATGAAATGTAACATTATTGTTATTTAAATGAGAACATTAATGTTTAATAAGTTTAAGTCTTCTTCCTTTTTGTCGTGTGTTCTTCAGCAGGTTCTGTTGAAGTTGAGGAGACAGATACAAATTTGAAGTCAGGTTTTTGTCAAGAATGGATAAGCATGTTATGAAATGAGGGGGGTGTAGGTACTAAATTTCTGGATCAAGTTTTGGAGAACTGAAAATGAAGAACAAAATGTTGGCACTGTTCTTTCTTTTACCTTGATTTTTAGCTGACTAAGATATTCATTATGATATATGGCTTTGTGAATCCACAAAAATCTATTTGTACTCAGTTCATATGGTAATAACAAAGAGCCATTTATGTTAAATCCAAACTTGGGAAATATTTTTCCTCAACTTAATATCCAAAAGTATAAATATATGTTGTACAGCTTTGTGTGCATATGTGTATATATTTACATACACAGACATTTTATATAAATAAAGCATACATATACACAGGTTTTATATTAAAATTGTGCCCTTGCATTATAGCTGCCCCTCTTTCTCGATTGCATGTTTTGAGGCTATTCAAGCCCTGAACCTAATTATGGTTAAGATGCTATTTATTTGTGATTATATTAACAAAACTTCTAGGTTACATTGCTCTTCTTCCTTCCTGATATATTTATAGAGTAAAACCATCTAGGCCAAACTAGGGGGTCTTGTGTCTCTTTGCATAAAATTTACTCTCAAGTCCTGTAATTATTCTTGCAGCCCTTCCGGAATAAATTTCTTTCCTTGAATACTGGTAAACAAAACTGTAGATGGTATCATAAGCAAAAGCCTATCACATGTTTAACACTCTTCTTACAGCTGTTTCCATTTGGCAGATTTAGCAGCTGCATTGAGAAAGCATTTGGAATAATCTGTCCAATTCTTTCTTTTGTTCCACTGACTTGAAGTTCTCTGTTTATCACATGAATTCCTGTTAGCTCTTCAAAGCCTTGAGCTTTTCACTGTCAAATTTCATCCTAATTATGCTATAACAGTTCTAATTAGTATGTAGGGTTTTCTTTGTGGTTGTTTGTTTTGTTTTACTGTTTTCTGAGTTATTCTGATCTTGGCTTATCCGGATGATATCTGTCTATGCAGATGATCACCATGTTCAGAGTCTTTGTAGTGAGACGCTTATAACAAGTCTAAGGCAGGGTCATCCCCTCGTTCCATAAAAAGGTGTCTTAGATCAGGTTGGTGGTATACTTACTGTGAACGACCTTTTGATATAGGCTAACAAACTAGCTGAAGGGGCAGTCTACTACTTTTCTAATGTTTTTCGTGTTCTTTTAACTATTTTGACTTTGTTGAATCGATCTTGGAATGTGTTATTTGGAACAGGTTGCCCAGAGAAGTTGTGGATGCCCCATCCCTGGAAGTGTTTAGGGACAGGTTGGATGGGACTTTGAGCAACCTGTTCTAGTGGGAAGTGTCCCTGCCCACGTCTGGGACGTTGGAATTAGATTATCTTTAAGGTCCCTTCCAACCCAAACCATTCTGCGGTTTGATACTTACTTCCTTGTCTTAAACATAAAATTTGTGAGATGAAGGTTTATGTACATGGGGTGGTGACTCTAAAGGTAAAGAGTTGGCTGAGTGATTTGCCTTACTTTCATCCATCCAAATCCCTTTTCTAAAATATTTTTATGGAGTTGTTGTATTTTGTGCGCCACTGCATTGTACCACCATGACATGATAATGTATATATAAAAAAAAAAAAGCTTTCCTCTTGGACATGCTAGTTTGAGCCATAAAATACTGAAGTTGCTTCAGTATTTCAGTTGCTGCCAGACAGGGTAGGGCAGGCCTATATTCAGTATTTTTATTTTTAACTAATGCTTAGGAAATGCCAACAACTATAGGTGCAGTGACAGGAGTCTGGGAGTTAATACATTTCTTGCAGAGAGGTCCAGCTGGAGGTTCGGTTGTAATGCTTGAGACTGCGTATTGGTTACATCCAGCAGTGCAATCTCTGGTACTGCATGGACCAAATACTCAGGATATGTTGGAGGCCTTGACACAGGTGGAACTCTTGAGCAGGAATGTGGCTCGTGCAAGCCTTGGACTACAGGGAAAGTCCAGTGGCTTGCTTTGAGTCTACAGCACGTAAAACTGTTGAAGTCATGCTCTGGTCTGCTTCCTGAACTGTCAGGTGAAGGAGCTGAGGATAAAAGCATTGCCTCAAAGTGTACAAATGTGAGTGAAACAAGCTCTTCATAGAGACCCTGCAAGAGCAATAGCCTGAATCATGCATTGCATGGAAAGAAAGGTGGCCAGAAGGATGCTTATTGGATACTGAAAGTTCGTGACTACTGACAGGAAGAAGTCGCAGGAGGTTTGTTTTAAGGGAAAAAACTTCCAGATTTGTTTGGTCATTGGATGTTTGATTACATTGACACCAGTGATATTATTGAGAGAGGCCTCACATGGATAAAGGGCAACTACAGACACTTTCCTACCTGCTAAGAAAAAAGACTTGAGTAGGACTAAGGAATCCTGCTAACTGTACTACTAGCTCAACTGCTCTGAGTGTCACAGCCTGAAAGGTTACCTTGCTTGTGGGCATTTAAGAGGTAATAGTGGGGTCACAGGATTCCGTAATACACAAGGACATGGAGACTACTTTATTTCCTAAATTTCATTACTTCATTACAGATTACTACAAATCACCAATAGGAAGTATCCTTATGATTAATAAAGCAAGTATATATCAAGTTATTACAAACTTGTTACCAGAAAGCATGTGTGTTTTATATTCAGTAGTAGCAGTAATTGTTAATAGCAGCAAATACATCTTAATATTACAAGCTGCTGCAAACTTATCGCTAGTAAAGTAGCAAATACGCATGTAAGTATGTATATATATGGTATATGCTGTTATGTATACTATTTTGTATTCTGTTACCTGTACCAAGCATCTGTCAGATCAATCCCAAAAGTGGAGTCAATTGAAAACGGACACGTTTTGGTTCGGAAGTGATCTGTGTCACTGAGTTTGGAGTCAGCCAGGTGTCTGCAGCAATTTTTTTTTTATTAAAAATTCTTTAAAAATATAATTAAAAACTTAGTTTTAGTATCCCTTTGTTTGGTGATTATTTGATTCAGTCTGTTGGATGCTGTGTCAAGGAATGAGTGGGCCTGTCTTTATTTAATTAACTTTTTTTTTCCTAAGCTTATTTCTGGGAAGTTTCGTGATGATACAGTCCCTGGCAGCATTCATCTATGTACCAGTCCAGAGGTTTTATCTTCCTTCAGGCATAAGAGCAGTCCATCTCAGTCCTCAGGAAAACAAATAAATGTTTCTGGAGGCTGGCTTGGCTAAACAGTAAAGTCAAGACAGAGGTGCAATATACAGAAAGGTAGTATACAAAATGTAGAAGTAATGTGGAAGCAGGGAAAGGTTATAAAGGAAGAACTGAGAAACTTTGTCCAGGCACGTAAGGGCTATATTAGGAAAGATAAAGCTCAGTTGGAATTGAGATTTGCAAAAGATACCAAGTGATAGAAAAAGTCCTACCTGCTATGGCAGTAGTTAAAGGCTGAACAAAGTAAAATGTGACTTATTGAATGCAGTTTATTTAGGGCAATTTAGTGTCAGCAAACACAGGTAAGGCAGAAGTACTGAATGTCAGTCTTTTCTTAGTTTGTCAATAAGATCTGAGTCCCCTATGCATACAGAGGGGATTCAAGGTGGAGAACTGCCAGGATTGAGTAAGGGTTGAGTCAGGAATTGCTTGAGGGAAAATTTGGCCCATACAAGTCCGTGGGACAAGCTGGATTACATCTGAGAGTGTCATGAGAGTTGGCTGGTGTCACAGCGAGGTTGTATACGCTATATCATATCTGAAAGGTTGCAGAACAGGAGATGACCCTGGTGACTGGAGAAAGGCAAACAATGTGCCCATCTTCTCCACTGCCCTCACTTCAGAAGGAAAAAAAAATATATATATATATGGAAGGAAAAAAAGGAAAAAGAAAAAGCCAAAGGACTGTTTGCAATCCAGGAAACTAGTAATCATGAGATCATAATCATAAGATCATAGACAGTCCTCCTGAAACACATTTTTGGGCATGTGAAGGGTAAGTCATGCCTGTAAAACTTGCTTGCTATTAATAATAAAATAGCTGGATTTCTGGATGAGAGGAAAGAAGTGGATGTCATTTACAATGACTTTCAGGCTTTCAACACTTTCTCCCTCAGTATATTTCCATCCATTTTAGGATATGATGGCTTTGATTATGAGAAGGTAGTTGAGTAAAAAAATTGTTTAGATGATTGGGCTCAGATGATAGAAGTTAAAATGGGTCATATTTTACCTGCAGGCCAATAAGAAGGCCAGTAAGACCAAAGGGGGTCTATGCTAGGACTTGTCCTATTTAACATCTTTATTAATGACCTGGAGGAAGCAACAGATTCACTCTTGTTGAGTTTTCAGGTGATACCAAACTGGGAAGAAGAACTGATAATCTCAAAGGCAGTACTACCTACTATCCAGAGCGACCTGGACAGATGGAAGGAATTGACCAGCAGGAACTACATGAAACTCAGCAAGGAAAAATGCTTGTGTTTCTTATCAACCCATCTCAGTAGCAGCTCCACCCGCCAGTGGACAATTCCCAGTTTAGGACTATCTGTGTACTTGCTGAGGATTCTTTCTGACACTGGGAAAGCTATTAAACAGTATTGGTGTGAATCCTGTTTTATTACCACTTGAAAGTGGTATAAAGAGTTCACTTAGGTGTTGGACAGCAGACTGCCAATCTTTGAGACCTATCATGCATTTTGCCACCCACCTTATAGCTCACCAATCTCATCCATGTTTCACTAATTTGTCTCTAAAAATACTATGGGAGACTACGCCAAAGCCTTGTTAATGTCAGGGTAAACAACATACATTGTTCTCCACTTTTTTTTTTTCCTACTGAATCAATCTTTTTGTTATAGGAAGCTCTCAGGCTAAATTTGCACTTGGTGTGCCTGTGCTGACTATTCTCAGACACCCTCTTGTTCTTCAGGTGCTCTGGCATGGCTTTCAGGAGAATTTGTTCCATAGTCGTCTTGAGAGGTGGGGATAGGCTGAGCAGTCTGTAATTCCGTGGATTGTCCTTGCTTTTCTAATGGATACATCGTTTGCCTTTTTTCAATAATTGAAAAAATTATTGTGAGCCTTGTTCAATCACCACGATTGTTCGAAAATGATAGCAGGCTGCTTTGCAACTATAGTGGCCAGCTTTTCAGCATCTTCAGTTGCACGCCATCCAGTTCCATGAACTTCTAGATGATCTATTTGCTTAAGTGATGCTTAACTTAATCTTGCTTAACTATTCATTCCTTCTGTTAATTTTACTTTTTGTATTCTGTAACAATTTTTTTTTTCCTGGAAGGAGTTTAATTGCCTGAGGCCATGTAATATTTAGCAGAAGATTAAGTAAATATATCATGTTTTGATACATGGGACAGAAATTCTGTTTTTCACACTGTCTATTCAATAGAAACTTCTGGATTGAAGAGTTTGAGGACAAAATTCTCATTCACTTCCAAAAAATATAAGTCATTCTTAAAAAAACTAAAAAAATCATTTATAAAAAGTGCAACACATCTGGAAGACTACAAATATATAAAAAAAATCTTAACTTCATTGTTTCCATGTTAACTGTTAGCAGAAGTTGTCAACGAGTAGACAGTAGTGAAACTAAAAAGGAAGAAGTCAGTTGAAAAAAGTGTTCAATATGTGGTTACATCTTTCTGTGTCTTGTTTCTAACAGATACTATCTTCTAAGAGTGATTCCCGTTTGAAGCATTTACTGCAGCGAGCACCTGAGTATTGTCCAGAATCAATGGTAAGGCTTGGTAGTTTTAAATTAAAAACTAACAAACAAAAGGTTAATTTTATATTAACAAAGTTTTGATTACAAAAGCTAAATTTCAAATTAACTTATAGAGTTATTTTCATTACTTTCCGAGTTTTGAGCTGGTATAGCTTGTATGTGTGTCTTCAGATGTTTTCTTCCTTGTTTTAAGGGCTAGAAATTTTCTTAAACTGCAGATAGATCCTCAAAGTAGTATTTCTTTATAAATCTCTCATATATTACACTACTCGGTGGTCATGGAAGCTGTGAAATGCAGTGAAAATCTGATTTATAGTGTGAAAATTTGAGCTGGGTGACTGTCACTTGGAAATTGATAGCAGTGGCTTAAATTGGATCATGTGTTCCAGCTTGTGTAGGAAACAAAGCTGGCAGGTGGACTAACTCATGGAATACCCTTATAGCTGCTCTGAATGTTTTATGTGTGTTTCTGACAAGTTGAAGTAATGCTTTTGTTGAATAAGGAAGATTACAGTTTCCTAGAAGTTCTCTAATATATTCCGAAAAAAGGAATAAAAAAGAAAGTAATTTGTTTCCTATATTGGTGATTTGAGGATTAGACAAACACTGTCATTTATATTCTTAATACTGGAATTGTTTATTCTTAATTCTTCCCACTTGGTAACTTAAAATATTTCAACATGTTTGTTTTTGTTTGGAAGTAACAAAAATTGACAAGAAAGAAATCAGACCTTTCTAAAAAAGAATAGATGGATAGATTATTGACTGTGAGAAAAATCCATCTAGCATATACCCATCCCAAATGGGCAATGTGTAGTAGTAGTAAATCTGCATGTAGCATTTTGCAGGCTACTTTGCAAGAACGTTTGCTTATAGATCCTTTCCTCCTGTGTGTCAAAAGTATTTTTTTTAAAGATTTGCTTTCTGTGGATCATCAGCTGTAAGGTCTTGGTAAGTTATAGGCAGCTGATGGTATGAGTAAAATCCTGTGTCAGGAAAGCATATCAAAGTAGTGTATAGAATTTGTTTTGGTACTGTTTCTCTTTATAGTTTATCCCCTGATAGGAAGAGTAGGATTTATCTGTTCAACTGATTTTTTGGAGACAGCACTGGAGAGTATCTGAAAGGGGGAAAATAATTGATACAATTTTTTTCAACTCACAATAACCATCTCTATAAATGGCAAGTTTGCTGTTTAGTGTGTATCTTAATATTGCTGCGCTGATATTTTTTAACATTTTAAAAAACATCCAGATGTAAAATAGTTAACTATTGCATGAAGTTAACAGTTTGCTGTTTTCAGATTCCACCCCACTCTTTTGAAAGGGTGTTGCAGTGACAATCCACAGAAGAGTGGATATGTTATGAATTTAATCGGCCTATTTTATAGAGCATTGACGTTGTTCGTTCAGTTAATACGATAGAAGGGGTTTTGCCTGGTATGAAGTAGTGCACTGATTGTCACAACAAGAGAAGACCATCTTCTCATGAAATAAAGGAAATCAGTTGAACCAACAGAGTGTAACTAGTAGAAGTGGCAGATCTTTACCTTTTTCTTTTGAGGTGACTTTGACTCTACTCTTAGGTGGGAAGCTCCCACAAATACAGAAGAGGACAGTTCTAGATGATTAGGTACAGATTAATTTTAACTTTAGAAAGTCAGTAATTCCTGTGGTTACAGTCATTACATGACAACAGAGACAACTTGCTGTTTGTGTGGTTGAGTTGAATTTTTCCTTTTCTCTTGAAGGACATGTTTAATGTTATTTCATTTAAAGCCCCTTAAAACCTGTCACTTGCCTTCTTAGACCGAATAATTTTCCTCTAATTCCATCTAATTAAGGTTCTCCAAGTGCTTGCTCAAAAAAGTTGAATTCAGTTAGATTGTACTGAAATACATGTAATCCTTGAAGAGTTGTTTGTACTCATGTCTTTTTTAACTGCGATATTAACAATCATGTTGTAAGACTCCAGTTATAGGACACTGACCATCTAACATAGCTTTTAGTTCTTTCAGCTTTCTAACACAGCACACCCACTGTAAAATGTAGTTGTTTCTGACATCAGAACTAAAATTCTTACCTTAGATTGAATCCTTCCTCTGCTGCCTAAACCTCTATCTTCCAGGACATCTGTAAATTTATTGGAGAGATAACAGAAATACCTGTGGCAGACCAGCATCTGACCTGAGAGTTCTTTATACTAACCCCACTGTAAAAAATAAAAATAAAAAATAAAAATAATTCCCCATAGTCATTGTTTTGGCTGAGTAGTCTTGGTAATACCAGTAATGAGGGAGATGGCACAAGAACTCTTTGGTAAGCTCTTCACCATCTGTTTTTTTTCTGCCCTTTCCCCACCCCACCAAAAAAAAATATATATATATATTTACATAATTCTTATGCTTGATACCATCAGCCACTTAGGTCATTTAGCAGGACCAGAAATGTTTTGGGGTGAGGGGAAACCCAGCAGATCCAACTTTCCCTGAAGCTGCCTGTCTCTGGGGAACCTTAGGACTTCTTTGTTTTATTTTGCGTACGGCTTGATTTTGTTGTTTAAAATAAATGGTGGAAAGGAGTGGTAGGGTAACAAGCTTCTCAACATGTCTTGGTCCAAGATAAATCTTTCTCTTTGTCTAAACTGTTGCTTCTTGGTTCTGTAAATACTAGAATACTGGTGGAAAAAGCTGACTACCTAGCATAGGTGAGGTAAGCACAGTATGGTCTACACCTACAAATATGCTCCTATTGATTTGAAGTTCTAGACATGGCAATCTTATTGTCAAAGTAAATGGTACATAGGTTGGACGAACTCTTAAAACTGAAAATACCATTACTTTTTTTGTCTGTTAGAAACTCTTTTATTTTGTAGACTTACTTTTGCTTATTTGCATTTCACTTTTCAGGGAGAAGTGTGGGGTTGTATAAATTCTTCATTGCCAGGTAAGAAATATGAGTTTACCACTGGATTGTGTTGTTTTTTCACCAAATGTGTGTTTCAGTGTCTACCACCTGCACCCATAGATGTCATGATAATTTAACCTTCATTATGCTTCCATTATAAACTGTATTTTGATTCTAGTTTCTTTTAATCTACACTGGGTTACCTCTGCAGCTTTTTCTTCTAACACGTCTTTTCTTTTCCTAGTTAGAAAGCATTGCATATGTTTTGTATGATTAAATGTGTGTGTTTCTGTGATGCATCCAAGAAATATCAGAATTCCTTTCCTTTAAAGGCTTTTTATTATTTTTAGTTTCAATGTACCTTAACCTGATTTATAAAATCACGGATTGTTGCAACTTTGTTCTAGCTGTAGTATCATGTAGAAAAAGAAAAAAAAAAACGAGTAATATGGAGAAAAAGTGAGAACTAGACAAACATAATTTAAGAAATGTGGAGGCAAAGAACAAGAACCAGAATGCTTGGTGTAGGCAGATTCATGAGGTTAAAGCATAAGTTTTGAGGCAGGACTGTTATGTTAAAAGGAGAGACCAAAACCAGCTGAACTTGGTCTTAACTAGTATACTTGTATCATGTGTCATCTCTAGAAGACTGAGTGAAATTAGCATGCTATGGGTTGAAGAAGTGGCAGTGAGTAAAGAGGAAAATGTAGCAATTTTACATCTACTCAGCTTTCTGCCACTGTTTCAGAGGTAAACTTGATTCTACTCCATGCAGACATTTGCTTTCTTAGGTATAAGTAAAACTAGTAAAATCTGTAATATCATTTGGAGTTGCAGTAATTTTATCTCACCTAAAATCAGATAATTTTTGAGTTGCTGCTGCTGTGGCCTCACCTTGAGTACTGTGTGTGCAGTTTTGGACACCACGATATAAGAAGGATATAAAACTATTACAGAGTGTCCAAAGAAGGGCAACAAAAATGGTAAAGGATCTAGAGGGAAAGATATATGAGGAGTGGCTGAAATCAATTGGTTTGTTCAGCTTAGAGAAGCATGAGGGGAGACCTCATTGCGGCCTACATCCTCCTCATGAGGGGAGTAGAGGGGCAGGCACTGATCTCTGCTTTCTGGTGACCAGCAATAGGACCCAAGAGAATAGCGTGAAGCTGTGACGGGGAAGCTCAGACTGGTTATTGAGAAAAGGTTCTTCACTGAGAGAGAGGATGGTCAAGCACTGGGACAGGCTCCCCAGGGAAGTGGTCACAGCACCAAGTCTGACACAGTTCAAGAAGTGTTTGGTCAATGCTTTCAGACATATGGTCTGATTCTTGGGTGGTCCTGTGTGGAGCCAGGAATTGGGCTCAGTGATCCTCGTGGGTCCTTCCAGCTCAGAATATTCTCTGATTCTGTGCTTCTATAAAACCTATTCTTCCCTGAGGCTTAATAGCCACATACAAATGAGTAGTAATGGATTTACTGTAACTGAGCAATGCACATTTTGGTTTGAAATTTAGGTTTGTGTAAGCAAGCAAAAAAAAACATTGGGAGTCTTTGTTAATGATCCACTCCCAAATTGACTTTCTGGGCTTTCTGAGTTAGTGTGAGGCCTCTCACTGTCTTTGTGGTGGGATTTTATTATCTTCTGATTTATGAAAGAAAGCTACTTCAGTGGTGATGTAAATCTTTTTATAACATCTTCATAGGCAAACTGTTGAGGCGTATACTAGATAAGTAGACAGTGGAGGTAGATTGAAAACTGGCTGAACTGCTGAGCTGAAAGATTTGTGATCAGTGGCACAAAGTCCAGTTGGAGGCCAGTACCCTTGAGGTCAGTGCTGGTGCTAGTCCTGTTATTAATGTTTTCACTAATGGTGGGACAGAATGCACCCTCCATGTGTTTACAGATGATACAAAACTGGGAGGAGTGGTTGATAAGCCAGATATTTGTGCTGCCATTCAGGGAGATGTTGACAAACTAGAGAAAGCTGGCAAACAGGAACATCATGGGGAAAAAAAATGTGAAGTCCTGCAGCTGGGGAAGACCCCATGCTCCACAGCACACTGGGAGCTGACCAGCTAGAAAGCAGCTTTGTAGAAAAGTGCCTGGGGATCGTGGTGGACAACAAGTAGAACATGCACCAGTGATCTGCTCTTGTGGCAAAGAAGACCAACAGCACCTGGGTTGCATTAGGAAGAGCATTGCAAGCAGATCAAAGAAGGTGATTTCTTGTCCCCTTTTCAGTATTGATGAGACCACACTGGGAACTCTGTGTCCATTTCTGGGCATCTTCATACAAGAAAGATGGGAATATACTGGGAAGATGGGAATAAATCCACTAAAAAGCTCCTTCAAGATGTCCGTATAAGATGATTAAAGGACTGGAACATTACTGGGATTAGAACGTGATATGAGGACAGGCTGAGAGCTGGGATTGTTTATCCTTGTTGAGAAGACTAAGTTGAGGGCAGGTCTTATCAATATGTAAAATTACTTGATCTAGGATGTAAAGAAGATGGAAATCTACTCATCTCGCTGTTATCAGGATTCCCAGTGACAGGACAAAAGTCAGTGAGCATAGATTGAACAATGGTAACTTCCATCTAAACATAAGAAAAAACTTTGTAAGGAAGATGGAACAGTGGAAGAGGATGCCCAGAGGGATTGTGGAGTCTCCAGCTGTGGAGGTATTCAAAACCTTATTGGACATGGTCATGGCCAGTCTGCTCTTACTCAGCTTGCTATTAGCAGGGTAGTTGGACTAAGCAATCTTCAGAGATCCCTTCCAACCTCAATAATTCTGTGGCTTTCTCTCTGCTTGTTCTCCTGTTTGACTACTCTCAATGCAGAAAATATTTCATGATAGAGCTTCCAGCACAGCCACAAACTGAGTTTTGACTGGATCATCATCTCTGATTATTTCATAATACCGCATCCACAATATGTTTTTACACACAGATGCATGCACACACACACTGATGATACAGCTATCTCAATGTTGCTGTTATCACACATAGTTGTGAAGAATTGACCAGATAAACAGATGACTTCAATAGTTATTTTCTTTCCATATGAAGTGCTTAGCTGTTTAGCTAACAATGTAGATGAAAACCTGTTTTACATGTGGGTTTAAATGGCATTGTGTCATACCATGGTTTATAGATAATTTGGGAATTCTGCCTTATAATTTGCTGCTTGAGATATCCGTAGTGTATTCTCATAGATTGTCTTTTCTCCTCTTCCCTTTCTTCCCTGCTTGATATTACTGTTAACACTTTGAAATAGTTTTATTTATCAGAAACTTCATCATGATAGTTACCTTAAAATGTTAATATTCTTACAGCTACCACTTCAGCTACCATTCCTCTTCACAATTTTTTTCTGCATCCTTAAACTGATTGCAATAGTGGTTTATAAACTTTCTTGTATGGCTCATCCTCACAAACAATACTGTTAAGTCATGTTTTATTGTCCTCTAAATACTAATCAGTGATTTAATGGAGAATTTCTTTTTAAAAACCACAAGTCTGTTGATGTTTGTTTATTAAAACTAGTAGGCCTACAATATGTGAATTATTTTGGGGAACTTGTCTAGGTAATGTAAGGTTCTTTGGCACCATGCACGCATTATATTATTGAAGAAGCTACTTACAAAGGGTGATTGAGAGGCTCCAGTTGAGAAGCTGGGGGGAGACCAGCAACTATAATTCTAGATGGTAACAATGTTCTGGTTTTATCACTTTCTGTAAGCAGACTGTAGAAGACTTCATCAGAGAAATCAAAATTCTGACTTGGGCTTTCTTGTACACCTCTTGACACATGCAAATAAGCATGCTTGTTCCTCAGTTTCTTCTTTTTCCAGCTCTTTTGTTCTTTTCTGTTTCTTGGGGACCACTGTGATCCTGTTTCTCATATTTTTGGAGTGTAGCTTGATTATTTCATCACAAAATGTGTATCAGAGATTGCATTCCAATTTGTCACTTTTGTGCAGCTTTCTTCCACTGTTTCTGACTTCAATATACCCTTGTGGAGGCTACAGTAAAACTGTACAGATGGATTTATCAGTGTTTCACCTGGATATAGATGGTTATTGGAACAGGTTTCTGGAAATCTTGTTCTCATTTTGATTGCACATACTTAACGTTTCTTAGTTTTCTTTTACCTTAAAAGAAACTTAAAAAATAAACTTAAAAAGTCAATATTACTAATAAATATGCTACTGAGCTATTACAGTTTTCACCAAAAGGAGTTTATGTGTAGCTCCACTTACAAAAGTTGTGCAAAAACAAGTGCAACTTTTAGGCCTAAAATAGAACATAGTTAAGTACCTGTTTTGGCAGTTACCTGTAGATGTGTAGTTAAATATATTTGTGTGACTTGGAATTAGTTTAAAACAGTTCATCAACTCAGAATTTTTTAGCTTTGTTTACAAGCTGTTGATGTATCTACAACAGTTTTTAAACGCTTTCAGAAAGATGCTCGATCTCTGAAAAACAAATTCCTTACCCTGCTTGTGGAAGTGGAAGGTGAGCTGAATTTGCGGTTGTTGATGGCCTTCGCTGCTGCTTTCAACTAGGTTGAATTGGAAAGGTGAGCCAAGACTCTGAGCAGAGGTAAAGAGGATTTGGACAATCTTCGAAAAGATCATTGTGTCACTGGTCTACAGTGCTTCCAGGAGGTCTGGCCTATTCAGATGGTACAGCACTACTTCAGGCTGACTGCAGTCACGCTGCACTTCAAGCAGGCTTCATCCAAAAGTTGTTCTTCACCTCTGCCTCTCTGTACCTTCCACCTACTATGTCAAGCATTAATGTGTTAATTTGCATTTAAAAAAAAAAAATATTTCAATTTGCTGGAAAATATATTCATTTAGCCAAAGATTTTTCTGCTTCCTTATAAATTTAATAATAATGTATTTTCTTTATTTATTGGAATGTCATGAGACTGATACTGGTAAGGCAAAAGGACAAATCCATTTCTATGCCAGCTGTGTTTGCAGAGCCAGCCAAGTGTTTTTGTTCACAATACTTACCTACTGGTGATTGTTTTCCATTGCTTGCAATGATTTTTGATGACTCGTTTTCCCAATACTTTCTTAGCATTTAAATTTAAGCTCAATGGTTTATTCCACCCAGCTCTTTCTCTTCTTTCAAAGCTGGGCATCCCATTTTACTTTTCTAAGAAGGCATTTCTACTGGGCTTAAGAACTCTTTTTTAATTAAGCAACTGATTCTTTTACCTCCTACTTCTTAACTCCTACTTCCTATTTCTATCTAGAGGATACAATGTATGTGTGTCATGTTATGTTTATTATTAAAATAATGAGTGATTTGTTTGAGCTGAATGATTTTTTTAGTTATTAAAGAAGTGTGACATTCAGGTTGCTGCATAGCTTAAACCTTCAATGTAATTATTTCTGTCATAAATGTTATGTGAGGAAATTGGTACAGAAATACTTTCTTTATTATTATTTTTTTTTGTGATGTCTTTAACACATTTGTGAATATAGATTAGGGGGATGAAACAACTGCAGAAGATCACTTTCCCGTGTAACTTTAAGATAAGAAATGGGGAAAATGGAAGTAGCAAAATAAAATAGAAAAAGAGAGAAAGGAAGATGAGAAACATTTAATTAAGATAATTCTGGATATGAAAGTGTATTATTGGGGTAGAGAAACTACAGAGGAAGCTGGAAGAAAAATCAAGAAATATTCTATGTTAAGGAGCTTGATAGGAAACTAAAGTGCTGTTGAAGCCAGTAAAAGGATGTGTCTGAGACAATGTTTTTTTTTAACTTTTTTTTTTTTCCTACTGGTTTCTGTTGGCTAGTGTAAGCCAACAGAATTACATATTACTAAGTAAAATTACCAAACTGTGATATTTTCAGTGAGCATATAAAATGATTTGGATAAAACACCTTTTAAATTCAGTGTATAGAAAGTACTTAATTGTCAAGTTCTACATTTATTAAGGCATGGACTTATTTTTCTTTTCTTGCTTGAAGTTGGTTTGTAATGACAATAAATTCGAATAAACTGTAATATATAACTTGGCTTTTTAAAGAAGAACTTGAGTATCATATTTGAAAAGTAACATACTAATGGGTAGGGAAGGCAAAATAATGGCACAGGATCTTTTACTACTGTAATATGTACTGTAATTTTATTTTTAAAGGAGTTCTGAAGAAGTCTGATGGTTGGGTTGGTTTAGGTTGCTGTGAGCTAGCTATTGCTGTGGAATGTCGGCAAGCATGTAAACAGGTAAGGCTTTCTAATTGTTTTTTCCATGGTTAATGTCAAATAACTCTGAATTCACCCTGATTGTGATCTTCAGGCATTTTTAACATCAAAATTAGATTATCACACAAACTTTTTTTAAAACTGCAAAATACAAGAAACTTCCCACGAAGCACTACTGATGATAAATGTCAGCCACAGAGTTTCAAGAACCAAAAGAGAATTTACATAGGTTAGAGTCAGTTTGCAATAAAAAAGTAAAAACTGAAGTCTACTGTAGCTCCACAAAGGAGGCTTTGGCCATCCTGAAAATACTGAAAAACTTTTACTGGATGGGCAAACCAGGGTACAAAGAAAAGCCCGAACAAAGCAATAAAAGTAGGGTGAAAAGCTTAATGTAATTAAATGTGATTCCTGTTCCATAAGAGAACTGAAGTCAAATAGAGTCTGCCTGGTTTTTACAGATGCGTGAGAAGCACGTGAGATTCTTGGGTGTCTTTCTACTCCAGTGGGATTTCATCAGGATTAGCAGATCTGACTGGCTCTCTATTACTATAAAATACTAAACATTAGAACCTTGTAAACGTTACCAACTGTGATGGTGCTGTGTGGTGGTAAAATTAACATCTAAGATTTGGGAGGTATGGCTAGGAAGTTTATCCTAACTAAAGGAACATTCCTTTTGACTAAAAGCACAGTCTGTGATTGTTTTGAACCACCGCTTCTGAGCTTAAATAATACTGTATGTGCTGTTCCTAGACTCCACCACTAGCCATCTCTCTAGTGCCAAACGTGTCAGTTAACAAGCTAATGAAGGAGTCAGTCTGTCTCTTGCCAGCATGGTTACTTGACTTTGTTGACATTCAAATGGTTGTCTGGAGTCCAACCATCCAAGGGTGCTTGACCTTATAAACCTAAGATTCAGGCTGGGTATCAGGAAAAGGTTCTTCACTGAGAAGATGGTCAGGCACAGGGACAAGCACCCCAGGGCAGGGGTCTCAGCACCAAGCTTGCCTGAGTTCAAGATGCATTTGGATGATGCTCTCAGACACCTGATCTGGCAGATTTTTTTTTTTTAATTTTTTTTTTTGGTGGACCCAGGGGACTTGACAATCCTTGTGGGACCCTTCCAGCTCAGATATTCTATGAAAACATAAATGATTGTTTGGGTAGACATCTGACTTTGTTAACATTAGAGTGTTTTTTCCTTACCTCTTAGTCAGTGCTCTGCAATCGCTTGGCAGAGAGCAAGGGAGCAGAGGGGAAGATGCTGCCCAAACACTCTCTCACTATTAGGATACTTAATGAAGCTTCTGTCTGACCTGCCCTGTGTTAGTATTTTACTATAAAAGTCAGTCAAAGAAACTCTCTAAGACTCAATTTGGAGTTTCAGAAAGCGGGCTTCTTTAATTGTGGCACTGGACGCACACTTCACGTAGTGTGTGCACTGAATTATTCAAGCTACAGGGGTTACATACAATCAAAACATACATATTTATTATACATATTTATTAGATACCCAACAAAATAATCAATATATTCATACTATTTCCTGGAACTCATTAAAGTATATAAAGGTCCCTGATGTGTGTGCATTTGTTTCCACTGGTCTGTCGGGGGTTTCTGGTGATTGTTGGTCGCCTTCCTCGCTGTTTGCTGGTTGAACTCAGTTCTTGCACATGCTCAGGCCATCTGGTTCTTTCTTATCTTATTATTTCAACTTAGACATAGAAAAGTCACTTACGTGTCCAAGGACATGGGCATACCATGAGTTCCTCACCTGTTCTTTTCAGAAACATCCTCCAAGCCTGGGTTATCTTGCCCCTCTTCCCTGTACAGGGATACAATTCTGGTCTTACAGATAAGGCTAACTAATTAGTGAGTAAGGTAGCACCAGAGAACAAAGTTTCTAAACTTCTGTCTATGTAACTAAACATAATGAAGGCTTGGCCTATCTGTTCATAAAACATTTCGGATTTGGTTCTATTATTCTACCAGGGAGAGACCCCTATGTCCTTCTGACTCTGTGCCAATTATGTACTTGAGTCATAGAATCATAGAATATCCCAAATTGGAAGGGACCCATAAGGATCATCAAGTCCAACTCCTGGCACCACATAGGTATACCCAAAAGTTTAGAACCATGTGAGTAAGTGCACAGTCCAATGGCTTCTTAAACTCTGACAGGCTTGGTGCCATGAGTTCTTCCCTGGGGAGCCTGTTCCAGTATGCAACAACCCTCTCAGTGAAGAACCTCTTCCTGATGCCTAGCCTAAATCTCCCCTGCTGCAGCTTGACCCCATTCCCTCGGGTCCTATCACTGGTCACTAAAGTGAATAGATTGGTGCCTGCCCCTCTACTCCCTCTTGTGAGGAAGTTGTAGGATGCGATGAGGTCTTCCCTCAGCCTCCTCTTTTCCAGGCTGAACCGGCCAAGTCACCTCAGCCTCTCCTCATACGTCTTCCCCTCTAGGCCCTTCACCATCTTTGTTGCCCTCCTCTGGACACTCTCCAACAGTTTCACGTCCTTTCTGTACTGTGGTGCCCAGAGCTGCACACAGTACTTGAGGTGAGGCCGGACCAGCGCAGAGTAGAGCGGGACAATCCCTTCCCTCGACCGACTAGCGATACTGTGTTTGATGCACCTCAGGGTATGGTTGGCCCTCCTGGCTGCCAGGGCCCTCCATGGAGGCTGCCATTTCTTCAAATGTGTTCTGAACTTTGGGTGTAACACTGTTCCAGCCATGTCCTAACATGTCACCTGGCAAATGGAGCCAATCCACTCTAGTTTTGGTTTGCAAACATTTGGTGTGTGATTGCTGCTGCTATGCTCTATTTTGTTGCTTTGTAGTAGTAATTTATTAACTACATCTACAGTAGTTAAGCTACCTTTGCTTTGGTTACGATAAAAGTAATTTCTTTATATATATATATATATATTTATATTTACAACCTGGATGAAAGTTCTTATTCTAAAATGATGAATGATGCTAGTGGAAGGCAACAAGCAACTTTTTCTAAGTTCACTTTTTTTTTTTTTGCAATGCTATGTTTAGTGATGCAACATTGGAGTCACAGCCCCAAATAGATTTTTGTGCTTCTTCAAAGAGATTTTCATTTATCAAGTGGAATAAAGTATGTTTTTTCAGTCTTTGGTGTTACCATATCACTGTTTTGGTCAGGTGACACTTTTAAGCATAACACATAAATTAGCAATTACCTTTTAAACAAAAATCTGGGAAGCATTTTCTGATTTTATATTTTTCAGCATATGCTTATGCATATGCATATATGACTATATATGACTATAAATACATTTTCAGAAACAAAAAGTGTGCAGCTATTTGTTGTCATTCTTATAACTCAGTTCTGGAGCACAGATGTACTAAGATGCATTCACTATAGTATCTTGCACATTACCTGTGTAATCTTAGTCTTGAACCAGCAGCCTACTGCAAGTTGTTGTCAAAATACAAAAAAAAAAAAAGGCTACCTCCACCAAAGAGCATCTAGTTAGTTTAACCTATTTGACAAGAGTGCGTACACAAACAGTAGTGTGAAAAGAAGGTGAGGAGTAAATAAATGGAAAAATAGGGACAGAAATATAAATGTAGTTCAAAAAATATTTTCTTTCTTCTGGAAAGAATATGCATATATCACTTCAAATGTGTTTGTTAGTAAATTTTTTAAATTTATTCTAACATTTAAGTATTTTCCAGATCTGATTTAAAAAAAAAAAACACTTCCATTTATCATGTCCTGTGAAATTCTGTTAATTTAATCTTATGATTGGTGTATCATTTCTCTTTATTCTTAAAAATAAATGCTGTATTGTTGATTGTAGACTATGCTGTGTTGGAATATTGGCTGTATTTTGTACTTGAGTGGACTCTGGTTGATATGTTTCACATGGTTTTGATTAAAACTAAAAAAAAAAATACATACTTTGGCAAAACAGTAAAGATAATGGTGAAATGCTTGGATGCTAATTTTGATTCTTGAAACTTGAGGGAGTTTTACAGGCATTTTGAAGATGGTGCTATTATAGGTCCGAGGTCAGCTTTTACCCTGGTATTTTGGAGGGGGAAATACCTCAAAAAAAAAAAAAAAAAAAGGAGCAGGAGTTACTCTACAGAAGAAATTGATGTGCACTTTGAAAGGAGAATTTCTGGATATTGGTTTTACAACAGGAACTGTAGGACTGCATGTTCTAGAGGGAGAAGGGAACAAGACAGATAAATGTTATTGAGCATGGAAAATGGTGAAACTTTGTGCTCAAGCTCTTCCATTTCCCAAATGTTTCCAGTATTCCACCTTATCCTGTAAACATTTGATGAAAACTAACTTGCTTTGTGTGTGCATCCAGTACCAACAAACTTGGTGCAGAAATAAGAAATTTGGGTCTTTATTTATATGTAGTATTGGCAAAGTTGTGCTTTCTTAAAACTTTATATGGATTCTTTAGGTTCTTAGAAAGGAACATTTAAATAGATCACGGATCCATGATTACCACAGTTAACATAAGGGTAGAACAATTCTTATTTTACAACATGTTTTTATTATTTTCTGCCTGAAATGGGGAAATTTTCTGTTTTTCAGGCTTCTTCAAAGAATGATGTTTTAAAAGTCTGCAGAAAGGAATATGAGGTACGTATGTGTGTGTGTGCATATATCTTAATAAGTCATCCGTTTTATAAATTTCTGTGACAAGTATCCTGAGAAGAGGGAATTTCTAGTCTTCTCATGTAGTAACATATCTGTATATACTCACTTTCATTCAAATGTAAATTGCCTCTCTGCATTTTTTGTAAAAGTACAATCACTTTCTGTGAAAAGGGGCTTGCCTTTTTTTTAGACTTTCATATATCTTAATTTGATTGATAAAGATGCAGCTTTCAAAAGGGAGACCTGGATTCTAAAATAGTTTGTTAAAGAAGAGTTCTGATGAAAGTAGGCATTCATTGTCAGGGACATTTTGAGTTCTATAATGGGAGATTTGGCTTTAAAATGACCTTGAAGAACTAAACTCAGGATCCTTTAAGTAGTCTATCCCAATATATATAATTCAAAATGAATAATTTTTGTTAACATCAGTGAAACTACGAATACTAGCAGTTATTTCTAACAATTAATTTTAAGAGTAAAACAATAGGATATTTTCAGAATTCTGCCTTCATCTGTATTCTTTTTAACACATTTTGTAGAAAAGTTATTTTGCTAGGACTTTTTCACTTCCAGTTGTTTCTTGTTATTAAAAGCCAGATTCCTCCTCCTCCTGCACATTCATCCATCTCCTTTCCTCCTGCCTACTGCCCTGAATTAGTTAGTCCTATGTAAATTCAGCTCTTAATAAACAGTCCAGGTTATCAAACAATTCTCTGTTTTCTTGATTTGGGCAGAAATATAGCAGGTTTCCTGTTTTCCAAGAAACAATAAATTCCCTGTTGTTTTTTTTTTCCCTCTCATATTTCATCTAAATCTACAGAGTATTTTCCTAGATTCTTCACTGTTGAAGTTAGCATAGTTTGTTCTCTTTAAAATGGATTTAAAGTAGTTCTGTCTTCTCTCATGCTGTGATATGCTATACTGTCAACATCTGTAAACTTCTCCTCTATTATGCTGGTCTGTTTCCTTCTTTTTTTTCTGGATTTCTGCATTGCTGTAGGAGGTTGGCCAATATGTGTTGAAGGAGAACGGGAAAGGAAAGGTAAGAGATTAAAGAACACCTACAAAATGGTGATAGTCATCTTATTTACTTTCCTAGGCCTTTTTCCAGTTTTTTATCTGGAATTTTGGAAAGTGGGATCTTGCTGTTATTGCACGGAAGACCTTAGTTCTTTCTACCTGTGCAACACTAAAAGAAGGAAAGGCAGGAAAAATTATGGAAGTATATATAAGTTTTATGATTGGTGAAGAGAACTTTTTAAATGAGCACTAGGAGCAGTAGGTACCAATACTGTGTTAAGGAGAGAAATGAAGTATGTGCAGTGGTAGATCTTCAGTTATTACATATTTTGTACAAAAATAGAACTTCCTATGTATCTAGGCTTATAGGTACACATGAAAAATAGTACTTGCTATGCTCTGAAGATACCTATTGCAAGTATAAAATTCAGGGAAGTTTTGCCAAAGGTATGAGATCTGAAAAGCTGCTTCTGGAAGGAACCTGCACTTTTTTTTTTCTTTTTTTTTTTTTCATCCTAGCTATTTTTCATTTTTCCTCCTTTTTTCTTTTTTTTTTTAGTTGATGTCTTGGTGAGTGTGGCCTGCTCCTTGTGTAGTCTTATGAGTAGCTTCTTAGCTTCTATATCTGTGACTAGTACCATACTTTGTATTCAGTTGGGTTGGTTGGGGAAAAAAAATTAAGAACTGGGAAGGGATTGCCGAGTTAAAACACTACATGACAAATAAGATCAGAAACAGCTTCTGAATCATATAAATGCAGTGTTATACATGTTGTGTTGCCTTTTGCTTAAGAATCCATGTTTGACTCACTTAACATGAGCATCCAGTTTGAGAATTAGTTTATTAATAATTAATTATTGAGTTATTGAATATAATAAAGATATAACTTGTAAGTAAAAGCTAGCTGAATTAAGAAATATAAAGGTGTAAATCCCTTTTTGCAAACACTGTCATAGCTTGCTAACTTATACACTCACTTAAGCATTTCACAGAGAATTTACAAAATCTTGCAGTAGTTGACTGAACTGTCCATAGTACTTCTCCACGGTCTTTAGAGATTAGGGAAGCAACTTTATGAGTTACGCTTCAGCTTCCCACTAAGTTAGTGAGAACAAAGAATGCGGTAGGTCTTCAAGGGTAAGGCACAGTGTTCAGAGCAGTGGAGGGAAAAAAACACAAACCTCCAGATAGTTGTTGTCACAAAGTTAGAAGTTGCTAAACAGTGTCTCAGACTGTGCAATAACAGAATCACTTGAACGCCGATGTGCCAGCTTTTCACAAGATTAATTAAATACGCTTTTTCTGCTGATCATATTTTTCTGGATTAATTTTACTGTAAATGTTAATGTAGCCTGTGATTCTTGTCATTTGGAAATTTTACACATTTTAGAAATGGATCATGGTGTAATGATATGTTCATTTTTCATCAGTGCATTGAGGATTTTAAGCAAGCCCTATTAAGTGTCTTTTAATTTCAAGTAGCACTGCATACAGATTTTTTTTTTAAATAGCACAACGTCCTTGAATATTTTTTAGATGTTATTAGACATTATTTAGCTTCCTTTGAAAGATGTTATCCTGTTATTCTTTTTCCCATCTTCTGCTTCTTGGATACTCATTTTTGTCATGTTCCTTTTCTCTCTAGTTCTGTGCATCTCATCACCTTTATCTTTCACTACTTCTTCCAGCTTTCTACTATCTTGCTCTAAAAAGAAGGTAGGTAATAGTCAAAGAGAGAAGAAGAAAGAAGTGGAGGCTGTATGGATTGTATGTAGGATTTTCTGTTTTTTCACTTTTTAAAAGTTTTGTGTAAAGTTAAGGTTCATTTTTGAATATAACAAACAGTACACACTTGGAGGAGTAACTGAAAATAATTCATAATGCTTGAAATAAACTGTGATAAGTTTATTACTGAATTTAAAATCACATTTATTTCTATTGTGCATGGAAACAGGAGAGCTAAAATTTTTATTAGGTTACAAATATGGGGTCTTTACACTGCATACTGAGTTCCCCTCTCTGCATTAAGCACTTCAGTTCTTACTTTTTGTCTTAAATAAGGCATTATTCAAATGTTCTATGTTATTTCACTTCTGTTCTTCAAGCCTTTTTTTTTTTTTTTTTTTTTTGGACACAGTGGTGAACAGTTTTGATGTCCCTGGACTGTAAAAAGGTATTTTTGCTCTCACAGATTTGAGCAGTGTTTAGTTTAATTTGGCTTGTGGTTTTCCAACAATTTCTAAATACAGAAACTTCAAATGCACAGCCTGCAGCTTCAGTTGCTGCAGGAAGTATTCAGAAATGTATTAATTGTGCTACACTACTGCAGGTTTAATTCTCCAGGATCATATGATCCTGCTTTATGCTGAGGTTTTAGTGAGTTTTGGCTACTGATTAGCCCTTCTGAAAATATGCTGCAAGGTTTTTAACCCTTATATAATTATAGGGATTACTCACAGACAATAGATTATAACCTAAGGTTCTGTTTAGAACATAGTTTGGTGAAAGGTTCCAAAAAGGTTTTAATGAACCCCTAAAGCACACAGCTTGTTTGTGGCTTCTGGAAGTACTGCCTAGGAATTCTGGGCAGACTTTGACTCTGTATATCACACATTATGTATAATAATATTGTGATCTTCTATTGCATTTTGTTTCTGTTCAGTACAGTTCAAAGGAAGTTGATTAAAAAGAAATGATCTTGCCAAAAATGAAGTTCCAGTGATTAAGTTCTACCTTACCGTGCTAGTGTTTTCATTTTTTTTACCGTTTAACATAACTGAGGAAAATCTTAGCCTTAATTGTTAATTTTTGTACGTTTTAAAAAAAAATCTAAACAGATGTCCACCATCATCTGAAACTTTAGCTGCATCCACTAAACGTTAGTGTGTTAGCTTCTGACTTTAACTTGTTTTGATAAATTCCAAGTTTAAATGAAGCTGAGAAAAGATTAACAGAATTTCAAGTGCTTTGCTCTGTGAGAGTAGCAATGAGTTTCCTGCTATATTTGTAACTGAAAGTAATATTTCTAAATTAAGATGTCCTTATTTGAATACAATCTGTATTCAGATACTTAATGTGGTTAGTTTGCCCAAAACAACAGTACTAAATGTATATTTCCACCGGAGTTAATAGAATACAGATACCATTATAATTTTCAGGAAGAAAAATAATATTTGTTGGGGGGCGGACTGTCGGGGGAATTCTCTGTATTTTCTTGTGCAAAAGAACAGCATCACTGTTATTTTTCATTCGAGAGGCAGCCATTTGGAAAAAATGTACATGTGATATGCAAAGCCTTATCTTATGATCTTATGAAGCCTTATGATGCAAAAGACTTCTCTCTTTTTAGCAAAATGTTTTGCTCTATTTGTATTTGTGTGTTTTGGTTTTTGAGCCGTTACCTGCAGCTGATGAGCTCCAAAAAGAGCGAAACCAGTTAGGTCCTGCAGTACTGGCTATGGTGAGGAAGACTGGAAAGAGTTCTCTGCTAGATAAACTAAAATTGCCTTTTTCAATTTCCATAATGTGACTGTTTTCTTAAGGCATACACACTTGTGTTGGCTGAGTCTGCCTGTTAACTTTTCATTCCTTCTGCTTGTAGTCTCATTTGCTTTGATGACCAATTTCAGCAGTTGTGTGGTGTGTTTTGTTTTTGTTTTTGTTTTTTTAACAACCAACTGAAGTATCTTTAAGACTTCTCAGGTGAAATCATTTTAAAAGTAGAATAAATAATTCTGCATTCGTTCTTTAAATTTCAATATTACCATCTTTGTTTGCTTGATGTTTTATTCATGAATTGAAAATGGAGTTTTGGGTGTAGGGGGACTATACTGTTGGCTTTTTATCCTCATTTTCACAGATCTTGGTGACGTAGTTTTCCCTTTAATACAAATATCCTTTTCTGCTCTTTTTGTTTCTTTTTTGTTTGTTTGTTTGACTTTACAGATGTATTTGTTTTATCTTTTGCTCTTGATTTTCTGTGTCTGTCTTTTCTCACAGTTCACTGTTTCAAGAGATTTTGGTAGGCAATTCAAAAGGAAGCTTGAATGGGCAGAAAAGTTGCTGATATCTTAAATATGATTGCTTATCTATAAAAGAGATGGGGACTAACCCTGTATCCTGTAATGAAGTTATGGTTAGTAACTCAAGACAGACTGTGATGGTCTAAAGCTGTTATTAGCTTTATTTACAAACAGAGGACTATACATTAATTTTTCTAAGATTTTCTCATGTCTGTATAGCTATGCTTCTCGCACATGTACCTGTATTTTCTGGGAAACTGAACAGTTGTCCAGAGCTACAAGAAGAGCAAATTCAGCATCTTAATTATCACTGTAACTTGTGGTGGCTACAGGTTACAGTTTCGTGATACAGTGAGTTGCTTCAACAAGCTGAAGTTCTTCTAGTCACACAAATACAGTTTTGTGTACCTTATTCTGGATCTGGCATCTTGCAGGTCCTTCTAAAAGATTATTTAAATTGCTAGCACAAGAGAAAAATGCTTTCTATAGGGTTACTGAGAAAAATGAGGGCATGAAACGAAGAGTAGAGTCAGAGCTGGTGTGAAGGCATGCACAAATTATATAACCAGAAGCATGGAGAGAGGAGTTGAAAACAAAACGGAAAAGGGAAGTAAGACAACCTCCTTCTAATTGCAGTATTATTATTATTACAGTGATTCAGCAGTCAGTGGAATGGCAGTTTCCAAGTACAGAAGGAGGATTGATTACCTGGTATGGGGATCGTGTCTGTCTTACAGAAACAGAAAGGTTTTTAAAATAGGTAGAAGAGGATAATTTTGTCTCAACTTGAGCCCTTTTTCATAAGAGAAATGTTGGTACTCCATCATCTCAACATTTTTCTCTATTTTTGTCTGTGGTTATAAGCTGAGCAAAAAAGGGTCAGTGATCCTGTTATTCCAAACAGCTTTTTAATGACTTATTTTATAATATTCTACTTTTAATAATGTGACAAATTTTACCTGAGTTTATAGCAACTTTACATCATCATTCTACACATTGTTAGTGCTAAATGATAGTATGTTCAGTACTCAGGCTGAAGTCCGTCTGTCATGGTTATACCCTTCAGCAGCCTCTACCGTCTCTGTGCATTAATTCGTACATAGTTAGTGTTGTTTTCTGCCAGGCTGTTTTGTTCACCATGTTCCAGTGCTTGGTACAGGATGGGTGCAGAATCTAATTTCAGAAGCTTCTGAGGACAGTCAGTCGTGGATCAGACTGATGTGGTGTGTGGCAGCAGGTCCTATCTTGACAGTTTTTTTTCTTCTTTAATACACCAAAGGTCCCAAAGAAGAAAGAACAGTGCTATAAAAATGACGGTGACCCTGCAGGCAATATTATAAATCAGTTCTTTACAGAAGTAGGGTGATGATTTTGTGTACAAATAACCATAGAATGGTTTGAATTGGAATGCAACCATAAAGATAACCTAGTTCTAACCCCCCGTGAAAGGAAACGTGTTGTGTTTACGTGAGTTCCCAGCTCAGTGTAACCAAATACGAGCAAGCTGCATCAAAGGAAGAACTCAGCATTCAGATGTTGCAATTACTGGTTATGGTTAACTCACAAAAATGAGTTAGCCATGGGGAGATTTAGTTACTTTGATATTGACTTTGCTTTGCTCTGTAATCCTACGTAGTAATCCTGCCTAGATTAAACTTCAGGGGAGAAAATAAGGATGCTGCCAAATCAGATTGACCCAAATGATCTGCAAAAACAACGCAAATAAAGAATTTGAATTGGGGGGGGGGGAGGGGGGGGAAATATAAAGTCCTGCACTCTAAACTATCCAAGACAAAAAAAAAAAATAGAAAATATGATTCTCAGTACATCTTCACTTTAAAAATTTTAACGTTTCCATCTGTTTGGAGCAATACAGATTTTCACAAAAATATCACAAAGATTATTGGGGATAACCCACTTCACAGCAATGTAGTAAATATTAGTAACTAACAGAGATTAAAATTCTTGAGAATTTTCATGCCGATTTCTCATAATAAAAATACTGTTCACTTTTCCTTTCTTATTTTAGACCTAGACTTTTTTCAGTATTAATCTGATGAACTCTTTGAATATTATGTTATACTCAAGTGTCTAACTTGTTTCAAAGTGAAGCAAAATATTTGCTACTTCTGTAAGATGAAGTTCTACAAGCTGTTCAGCTTGAGACAACCATTTTGTTTTCAGACTTGAGCGAGGTTGTGTGTTTTTGCTAGCTGATGAGCTACCAAGCTGATGTTAGGTCTGCATTTTAGGTCTTTTCTTTAAAGGTTGTAGCACATCTTGGTTTAGTACAGCAAAACATCAGATTTTAATCCCACATGGTGTGAGGATCAATATTACAGTGTTTGTTTTATTGTCTAGATGATGTGTAAAATACAAATGTATATAATATTGGTGATACGAAGGTGATCGGGAACTTTATGAAGATATGGATTGCTTTTTGCCACTGTGTTAATGGGTTTGATCATTTGATAATCTTATTTCATGTTTGTACAAGTGTGGAGAGTGCTTCAAATTTCTTTTTATAATCATGTAATTTTAAAATACTTCGTAACTGGTAGTTGAAATTTTAGAATTTCAGCCTCATGGCTTCATCTTTCCACTGAGTTCCAGAAAGTGTTTAAATGCTACCTGTTTTCTCAAGAAGAGATCTGTTTTCAATATGGGGAAGATGATGGTTGTTCTGGGCAGGAGTTCGATATGTAGTTTTTCAGGTTTATTGTCCTGTGCATCACAGTCCTCTGAAACCAAGCGACTGGGTATATGTCTTCCCCCTTCTGTATTTTAACATTTTGTATAACTCCCAACTGTACCATTTGGGTGCTGTAGTTTGTGTTTGGGTGTAGTTTGCGTGTTGATAGCATGCATTAGATTTTAATTGCTGTGTAGTTTTTTGAGATTTTCTGTTTGAATGTGTGCATGTGCAGAGTTCTTTTTTTCCACATAGATCCTTTAGAATTATCATACAAAAACATTTTGGTACTTCTAGCATGTTTTTCTAAGGTGATCTAGCAGAATCTTCCTATTACTTGAATATATTTCAGTAAGAGTGTACACAGAACTTAGGTGACACCTGATCTTTTCATTCATTTAGTGTTTCTATATAGTGTTATTTGTTTCGATTAAATTGTATTAGATGAACAAAAAATAAATGTAGTTCTTGATAAGAAATGACTGGGCACCTAAATGTTTATTTGAAATTTTCAGGCTTGTAATGCTATTTTTGTTTTGATTTCAGAATGCTCTCTTTAGTTGTATTAACAGAAATGAAAGTAAGTATGTAATGAATAGTTTCTTTTTTCTTTAAAATATTTAAAACTTCTGGAGGTGTACATATAGCTATCACGTGGATTCAGTTCCATAGAACGGCTAGCCACATACATAATTATTTTTGCTCAAGTGATAAGAGGATTGGACTGTTTATATAATTGCTGTAAATTTTTAATTTATGTATCTGTATTTGTTTTTTCTGTTGTATTTTGAAGATTGCTTAGAAGATCATTTCTCCTTCTGCTTTATTCACTTGATGACTGTTTTATTCTGCTTTATTCACTTGATGATTGTTAAGTAACAAAATCAAGTTAGATATAGGTGAAATCTTGCACCATACAAGTGTCCTGTTGCCTGTATATAGAAAATGAAATATCAGGGCATAAAGAATTCAGTGCCTCAGAATTAATTTCAGTAGTAGTATTTCTCAAGAACACTGTATTTAATAACAGGGCAAAAATGTATGAATCACAGTGATTTAATCTTTTTTTTTTTTTTCTTGAAACGGACTTTGGGATACTGCTTTCATATTTATTTGTTTACCATTGGTATTTGTCTACTAATTCAATTATAAGACAAAACTAGTTACTTTAAATAAGAAGAAAACATCTGAAGATAAAATTCAGCTGGCTTGTTTGTGACTTGAACTTGAATCTGAGATGTATTTAGGGACTTTTTTCTCTAGCTAAACCAGAAAAAGATGCTTTGGCTAGTTACAGATATTTCCACTCATTCTGTAAACAGATTATTTTAATGGAGTTTAGGAGAAATTGGTGTTCTATGTTTTTGTTTTGTTTTGTTTTGTTGTTTTCTCCTCCAGTAATATCTTGAGCTTCATTGTGTGGGTTACAGACATGCTCACTAATTTATTCATCTGTGTAGGAAACCATAGATTTTTGTTTGTTTGTTTGTTTCCCCAGTGGGGTCAGTCTGTTGCAGTTATGCAGGTCATCATACAAACTGTCGGGAGTATTGTCAAGCAATTTTTCGGACAGACTCATCTCCTGGTCCTTCACAAATAAAAGCAGTTGAAAATTATTGTGCAACTATTAGCCCTCAGCTAATACACTGTGTGAACAACTATACCCAGTCATACCCAATGAGAAATCCTACAGATAGTAAGTATAAAAATGTTTTATTTTCTGAAAATTTTCTTTAAAAGTTTGAGGATTGTATATCTTTTTATATAAATCGTTATATATTATATGTTTATTATATAAACTGTATTGATACATTCTATGTAATGTAAATATATGAATTTATGCAATAACTTTTGTTTGTAGGTACATTACTAGTTTTTCAATTTCATTTTTGTTTTTTTTTTAATTCTACATGTCGGTTCCATTCAGAGTTGATTCTGTTTGCATTTCAAAGAAGTGATGTTATTTGAAATAGAATAGAATATAAAATAGTTTCAGTTCAAAGGCACCTACAAAGATCATCAGACTACTGTGGGGCTGACCCAAAATTGAAGACTATCATTATGAGCATTCTCTAAATGCTTCTTCAACACAGACAGGCACAGGACATCAAACATTTCTGTAGGAAGCCTGTTCCAGTGTCAGTGTCTGGCTACTGTAAATAAGTTTTTCCTATTGTGTAGTCTGAACCTCTCAAGCTGCAGATTTGAGCCATTACCACAGATCTTGTCACTTGATCCCAGGGAGAAAAGATGAACACTTCCCTTTCTATTTCCCCTCCTCAGGAAGGTGTAGAGAGCAATCAGGTCATCCTTCAACCTACTTTTCTCCAAGCTTAAACCCGGTGTCCTCAGACGCTCTTCGTAGGACATGTCTTCCAGCTCTTTTACCAGCTTTTTGCCCTTCTCTGGCCACTTTAAAGTATCTTGATATCCTTCAATATTGTGGAGCTCAGAACTGCACACAGTATACAGGGTGAAGCTATACCAATGCTAAATACAGATCACCTGTTTTGACCAGCTGGCTGTTGGCAAGTTTTCAACAGCACCTCCCATTTTAGCATAACCAACAAAAATTCAACTCCTGCATCTATATGATTGATAGAAAGCACTGAACAGAACTGGACCCAAGACTGAGCCTTGAGGAACACCACTGGTGACTGGCTGCCAATCAGATAATGCCCCATTCAGTCTGAGCTCTACCAGTTCATCACCCCATGTAGCATGAGCCTGTTCTCACAGTTGGACAATTCTTCCAGAAGGATACTGTGAGGGACAGTACCAAAAGCCCTACTAAAAACATTATCTTACCTGTGTCTACTGTGTGAATGATCTTATCCTGGAAGAATATCAAGTTAGTGAGGCAGAACTTTCTGTTCGTTAACTATGTTGACTGGGCCTGCTGATTCCATTATCCTTTAAGTACTTTTCAGTGACACACAGCATAATCTTCTCCATAACCTTTCCAGGTACTGAAGTTAAACTAACAGGTCTATAATTTCCAGGATCTTTTCTCAAGCCCTTCTTGTAAACTGGGGTGATGTTGGCTAGTTTCCAGACAGCGGAGACTTCCTCAGAATCCCAAGATCTTTGGTAAATTGTTGACAGGGGTCCAGCCATAACATCTCCTAACTTCCTTAGTACTACAGGATGAAACCCATTAGGCCCAGTGGACTTAAAAAATATTCAACTGGTACAACTGGTTCCTTACAATTTTGGTGTCCACAAATGGAAAATTTATGCTCCTTCAGTTACAGTCCTCCAACTCAGAGGACTGGGCAACCCAAGGGCCTATCATTGATATTAAAGACTGAAGCAAAGAAGGCATTAAATGCCTTTGCTTTTTCATCATCCGTATTTGTCAAGTGAGTATCTTCATTGAGTAATGGTCCAATGTTTTCCGTAAACCTCTTCTTGCTATTAGCATACTTAAACAGCCTTTTTTGTTATCTGAAATAACACTGGCCAATTTTAACTCTACTTGAGCTTTGGTTGTTCGTGTTTTCTTCCTGCAAGTGTGAACTGCAGCTTTGTAACCTTCCTGTGTTGCCTGGCCTTGCTTAGAAAGATCATAGTCTTTTTCTGCTCAAGTTCTGTGAGTTCCCTGTTCAGCTTGTCTAATGCCCCGCTTGCTTCACTTGCAATGCGCTGGAATTGCCTGCTCCTGCCTTTTTAGAAGGTGGTTCTTAAAAAGCGACCAGCTCTCATAGACCCCTAAGCCTTCAAAAGCAGGTTCCAAGGGGACCCTGCTAACTGACTCTGTGAGTGGCTTGAAGTTTGCTCTCTTAAAATCCGGGCTAACAACTCTGCTGACCATTTTTTCTCATTTCACCAAAAACTTTATTATTAAAAAAAAAAAAACTTTTTTTCTCTGTAAATGTAACGTTTTTTCTCTGAAGTTTATTATGTAGTGTATCCTGGTGGTTGTTATATGCTTGAGAAATAACAGTTTTTAATTCTTCAACAGGTTTGTATTGCTGTGATAGAGCAGAAGACTATGCTTGTCAGACTGCTTGTAAAAGAATTCTAATGTCAATGAAAACAGAGCTTGAAATTGTTGATGGACTTATAGAAGGCTGCAAAACAATGCCTCTTCCTCAGGATCCACTTTGGCAATGTTTTCTTGAGAGTTCAAGATCTGTTCACCCAGGAGTCACTGTGCACCCTCCACCTTCAACAGGTCTTGATGGAGCTAAGCTCCATTGCTGTTCTAAAGCAAACTCTTCCACATGTAGGTCAGTATCTCTCTACCTTTCTTTCCAATTGTGAAAATGCTTCTGAAGTTGTTTCATGTCAGTCCTTTGCCCAAATCCTACTGTGTGAGTATGTGTGAAATGGGTTCTGTGAGTTCTTAGAAAGGAAACAGATTTAGGTAATTCGATGGGTGTATCTGTAGTGGGAGTAGATGTGATCTAAGTTGAAGGGTGGGATTAGTTGTTCATTGTTGTGTCAACATGATTTATTACATGTCATTAGTTCAGGATTTCTTTAAATTCTGGCAGCATATTTATGTTGGATATTACAGTTTTATATTCAGACATTTTTCAGTCTTACTAGTTTAAAGATTTGCTAGCATTCTTAAGCAAAACTGGAAAATTTAGAAAACAGTGGAGAGTAGCTATTTACTTTGAGCACAGCATTTGGAAACTCCTGCAGACTTTGTGGGCACTAATACATTTCTACAGTGAGTGTAGACTGTTGAGATCTGAAAGAGACTCTGCTATAGCTGAGCAACAGCTGCTTTTTTCGTTTGATTTTTTTTTCTTACATATTTTTTTCAGAGAGCTCTGCACTAAACTTTATAGCACAAGTTGGGGCAATTCACAGAGTTGGCAAGAATTTGATCGCTTTTGTGAGTATAATGCAGTTGAAGTTTCCATGCTCACCTGTTTAGCAGATGTACGTGAACCTTGCCAGCTGGGATGTAGAAACCTTACCTACTGCACCAATTTTAATAACAGGTAAGAGAGAGACACTGAATATTTTATAAAAGGAATTTCTGTGCTTTGATTAAAAAAAAAAATTCAGTCTTGTTTTGAGATTTTATATAGCTGTCTTTCTGATATTTTTTTCAGACAATTTAAAAAAGAAATCATTTTCCTATAGAATAAACTTCTGGAATTATAGTTAACAACCAACATTACAGAACTTATTAAAATAAAAGCTAACTCATGAACATGTAAAATGTCATCATATATTGCTAGTATATTCCTCTGTCTTCGCATATTAATAAGTCATAAGTTGCTGCAATATTATATATTATAAATAAGGTAAAAATGCTTGTTGAATTTACATGTTACTTGCTAACATTTTCCTAAGAGGGTTCATATGTCTTCCTTTTTTTTTTTTTTCTTTTAGAGATGTTTCTGTTTTTCTTATACTCTGTGGAGGAAAATGCGTAATTTAGAAGTGTTGTCTGAATTTGTAATTGCAAGGTTACGAGCTAAACAGTGTTTGAGTTTCAAAAGTACATTTAATATTTTATCAGCTAGCTGTTAGGGATCTCTGGATTTCTTTGAAATACCTAACAGACATGCCACTGTATTCTCCATAGTAAAGTATATATGTGATAGATGCTGCCTGGGCAAAAATAAATGATAAATCAACTTGCATTAGTGATTCACCAAGAAACATTCATACCAGATTTTCAGAATGTTCAAAATATTTGCTTTAGAGTCAACTTTCTTCAGGTATGAAAAGCTTAAATGATATTTGATCTAAGAGAGAGTTGAAAATGGTATTTCAGCCTTGAGCCTTAAAGAACTTACTTTCCTTAAAGGATAAAATTGAAACTGATTTTGGTCATGCTTAACTGTGGAAGGGATTCATGTCTTTTTTGACAGAAATGGGAAGCCATATCAAGGTTGTAGAATTCATATGGTGAAAGCTAAAATATGTGGAGTTTGTTTGTTTTCCTCTTAAATACATGCTATATTTTAACTTCTTCTTTTAAGACCAACAGAACTTTTTAGGAGCTGCAATACACAGTCAGACCAGGGAGCCATGAATGACATGAAGCTTTGGGAAAAAGGGAGTATTAAGATGCCATTTATAAATATTCCTGTTCTTGATATTAAAAAATGCCAACCAGAAATGTGGAAGGCAATTGCCTGCTCACTTCAGATTAAACCTTGCCACAGCAAATCTAGAGGAAGTATTATCTGCAAGTAAGTACCATGGAAAAAAGCAGTCAAGAGGTTCTGCTAAGGATTTTAATGAGAACTGAAAAGCTGCTGTAGGACTGTGTATGACTTACATTAGGCAGACATGGCAAAGCAAGCTGGGGAAGAACGTGAGCTTGCATAGTTGCTGTTGCTTGAATTTCCATCACTGTAAAGGAAGATGCTTGCCTGCTAATGACATGGATATATGCGCTTCCATTGTGAAGTTGATTTTTTTTTTTTTTTTTGACTCTGTGTTGGCTATAAAACTCTCTTCTTTTTCGGCTTTTGGACCCATTGGTGCTTTTAACTGACAGAAGGCTCTGAAAATTATAAAGTTTGCTTTAAAGAAAAAATAAATTTTGAAATAAATGATCGGGTAGAAAATAAACCAATTAATTAGGTACGGGTAGAGAGGTTAGGTACGTTTAATCTGTATTAAATGTTAAATAAAGGAAATGCTTGAAAGATACATGCATAAGAAGCCATAGAAACAAAAGTCACCAAACCCAAAGTAAGTAAAGTTTAGTGTAAAAAATAGTTCCTGTCTTTGTATTGCAATTTTTTTCCTACCTCTGCTACTCTTTACATGCAGAGATATGTGTATGATTTTTATATACATACATATATGTGCGTGCATATATGGATATATGGATATATGGAGATATATATATATATATATATACATATATATATCCAGAGGAAAGGTGTGGATTTGAGAAAGGGAAGAATATTAATATAAGACCTTTTTTTTTCAAGTGATGTTCATGAAGTTCTGTTTGTTTATTTATCTGAAGATCAGATTGCGTGGAAATACTGAAGAAATGTGGAGATCATAATAAGTTCCCTGAAGGCCACTCAGCTGAAAGTATTTGTGAGCTCTTATCTCCAACAGATGACTTGGAGAACTGTATCCCTTTGGATACATACCTGAGTAAGTATCAACATATGTAGGCAACAAAACTAGAAACTAAGATACGTTGAACACTTATTGTTAGTTTTAGTATTTTTGTTACTATTTTCAAATAAAATTGTATTAAATATGAAACATTATTTATTTAGTATATTAGAGAAAATTGTGTTATTCAAATTGCCGTAGCTTATTGCATTTATACCTTCTTGTACTTCATACTTCATGTGGCGAGGCTTTTAGTAGCAGTGGAGGCTGCAGAGGCTACATGGGAGGAACTTACCGATGGCTCTGTGCCAGCCACAGCTGGCACAAAACAAAGCTTAAACTAAAAGAGGGGAGAATTTAGGTTAGATGTTAGGAGGAAATTTTTCACTCAGAGGGTGGTGAGGCACAGGTTGCCCAGAGAAGCTGTAGTTGCTCCTTCCCTGGAGGTGTTCAAGACCAGGTTGGATGGGGCCATGGGCAACCTGGTCTAGTGGGTGGCAACTTTGCCTATGGCAAAGGAGTTGGAACTGGATGATCTTTAAGTTCCTGTCCAACCCAAGCCATTCTATGATCTCACCTGACAAAAAGGTACTGAGCAATAATAAAACCACCAGCACCATTTATTTACAGAAGAAAAGGTGGGCAATGCTTGGGAGGATTGATATCAAATAAATATCACTTAAACCATAGCATAATCTTGAACATAAATTGTAGATGTACAATGTTATGCTTTTTTTTCTGATATATAAACTGTGTTAATGTTCTTTAACTGTGCAATTAGAATAACCAAAAAATACATTAGCTACTGGGGTAATAGAACATGAGCTTAGTAGGCATGTTAACCCTCAACATGGCATACAAATGTATTAGTAAAATTTTATCTTAGTTCTAGATTTTATTAAATGCATCTTTTACATTCTTTTCCAAATCTCCTCTTCCCTTTTACTGATTCATATTACATACTTATATCTGTAGGACTTAAACTTTTTTATTGTTACAGGATTTTTAAGTTTTAGACCTTCCAAATTGAATTTTGTTATTTCCTTCTTAGAATCCCATGAACTTTGAAAATAATAAAATTTTGTTTAAAGCTTCAACTGAAAGTGTGCCTCAGCATATGCATATTGTTCCCAGAGAGACAACGTATTAAAGCTTTGGGTGGTTCTTTCCATCTAGCTGCTTCATTTCCATGTTGTCTTTCCTTTCTTTAATCTTGTAACAGGAGAATATTGCTAGTGAGTTAAAGGGAAAACAGAACCAAACTCCATCAATGATACCAAAGTTGGTTAAACATCAAGTCTACTCCAGACCTACAGTTTCTTGATTATTGACTGTAACACTTTTCTTGATTTGACTACTGGTCATTGTCAGATTGTATTTTTGTCATGTATAAGAAACTCTTGGGAAAACAAGATGGGGAAATAAATTTTGTTTATGAAAAAACTCTTTGGTCAGTGTTTCCAGGACTGAGTACTAAACTTTTTAAGTAAGTTTACAAACTAACTTGTCATGTCAAGTTTTTAAAAGTATAATTAAAAATATAAAATATTTCACTGAGTTTTCAAAAATAGGATTTTACTTAACATAAGAAATGCCATGCTTTCCTGAGAAATAAACCTCATTTAAATCATTATATATATTGTATATTCTGTTTTCAGGCCCAAGTTCCTTAGGAAACGTTGTAGAAGATGTTACGCATCCATGTAACCCAAATCCATGTGCGGCTAATCAGTTATGTGAAGTAAATAGAAAAGGATGTCAGTCTGGAGAATTAGTGTCTTCCGTATCTGTGTGTACCAGGTAAGGGATTTGAATTTCTGTTTGGCTGAATTTTGGTAATAAAAATGTTACTGAAATTTTGATGAAAGCTTTAGAATAAATTGCTAATATTCCCCCAAAACTATTATCAACATTATCTTGTCTTTTCAAAACCTGTAGCCTGCCTTGTAGCTCTTTTCGTTTATTCATATGTTCTTATTTTTGTTGTTGACTGAAACGTGCTGTATTATTAGAAGGTATATTACTTATTTTACTTCAGAAGAAATAAATGTCCAGACGCAGGTCTCTAAGCATCCTGCCTGCTACTTAAAATTACAACCATGAAGTACTGAAAACACAGTGCAGCTTGCTGCACCTGAGGGCACAATGGCATGTATTGCCCTGTATTTCCACATCTTATTAGCCATATCTGCATAATTTTCCTTATTGGTGAAATGAATGGACACAATGTTCTTGAATTGCCTGCCTTGAAATTAATGAAAATTAGGATGTCAGTCTTAGGAGGACATTCTGAGAGCTCTGAGAGTGTGATCAAATGCAAGGAGATCAAGGATGCATGTTTGCATTGGCAGCACTTCTGGTATTGTATTAATGTTCAAGATACAGCTTTCTTAGGTGTAGTTGTTCCAAATCCCTTTTCATAGGCCAGAAAAACTTCTCAAACTCTGTCTGGTAGCTCACAAGTAACCAGTTCAGTAACTAAGTAAATTAACACCCAAACTTTCTATTATGAGCTCTTCACTGTTACTACAACCTCTTACTTCACTGGATTCGGAATGCCGAGTCTCAGGGCTTGAGAAGCAAGTGACATGGCATATAATTTTTATCTGCCTCTCCTTTTTTCAAGTGGCACTTGACAAAGTATTTACTAAATATGAACTTAAAGTTCTCTTTGTACCTAGGCTGCAAGCTGGGAGAAGCCTCAGATTTTATTGTCCGTCAAGGTACAGCTTATTCAGGTTCCATCGTCAGCTGGTGATGCTGGTTGTTACAAGATTTGTACCTGTGGACACAGTGGATTGCTAGAAAACTGCATGGAAATGCATTGTGTTGACCTCCAAAAATCATGCATTGTTGGAGGACAAAGAAAAAGTAAGTTTCAGAACAATTATTGTATCTTTATACAGCTCCTGTTCTTTAAGCAATGAAATCTGGGGTGCATATGATGATCCAGAGAACATGAATGCAGAGTTTGTCAGAAAATACAAAAGTTAATGTCTGCATCCCTATAATACTTGCTTAATTCTTTTATATGCTGGACGGATGGATTATTTAAATCAATACCTAACAACATCTGTCTAAACCAATGAAAGTCCTGTGTAAAGCTTGTTCTTAGTATGCCATTTTTCAGCGAAAAGGTCTCTGACTTGGCTCACATGCTCTGGTTTTATGGTATTTGATAATACCTAGCTTCTTTTCTGAGAGCAGAAGTTAACTTTGGAGAGCTCTGGGGACTGAGGAAGACAGGGACTGAGGAAGGCTCGAGGGGAGGCAGTAGGCAGCAGGGATGAAGCAAGAACAGTGAAACAACAGTATTTGTTCTAAATGTGCTGTATTTCTGAGATTTAAGCATCGTGTAAGTCACTCAGTTGCAAAATCAGTGATATTTTATGTGTAAATCAACTGAAAAGTATCTTGGAAACTTTTTTTGCGAACTGCTGACAAATTCCTTCTTTCTTGGGTGTTTCTGTGGTTTAAACAGCTTTTTGTGCTACAGAGGCTTTGCTCTTCCATCCTCGTTTGGTCAGCTGCCATTTGTCTAGGAGTACCTCTTCCAGATTGCTCAATGCTGAGGATTTTACTTGTGCCCCTCTAGTATTTTACAAAAATTCTAATCAACTGAACCTTCAGAGTAGAGATTATAGCAAAATGTCTTATTTTGTAGGGCACAGTTACTTTTATGCTTTCCTGAAGAGCTGTGTATCTGCTAGTAGGCTTTAATAACTGACCTAGTTATGAATAAACTGGCAGTCATTAATATAAGTAGATTTTATATCAGCATACAACACAGTGAAGGGCAGTCATACGAACAGTTTACAAAGCCAAACTGGAATCTCTAAACTGAAGAAAAAATCCCTACGTTTAGTGTTTGATTCTCAGATTAAGACATGAGAAAGTTAGTGATTTAAAAGCTGCAGAAATCAGGCAGAGTGCTCTATCCTTAAAAAGCAGCTGTGATGGTGTTAGTAGTTGCATTGTTAAAGGCTCCTTTCTGAAAGCCAGTGGGTCAGCACACACCACTGTATTTGTGTATTCCTGTACTTAATGCTTCTACTGGGTTTCTGTTTGGCTTTGCTAGGAACCTTTCTTGTTCCCTGCTCTGGACAAAGCTTAAATTTAAACTAAACTAAAACTTAAACTGTTTGCCGAGACTTGAGATTACAGCTGTAATGGAATTTTGCAAAACAACAAAGACATAATGAATGACAGAAATAATGAAGCATTAGCACTTTCTACTTCTTGACAGAAAGCACACACCAAGGATAGAGGTATACACAAAAGATAGAAATTGCAGTTGTAAAAGAAACTGAATAAGGGAAATTAAGTGAAAAATAATGAAAATGGTCGTATTTGTATAATACATCTGAGTATGTATTATGCAGAAGACCATGTAGTCTTCTGGTATATTTGCATTAATTGTACACATTTACTTATTTATTTTAAGGTCATGGAACATCCTTTAATATAGATTGTAATGTCTGTTCATGTTTTGCTGGAAACTTGATATGTTCTACTCGTCAGTGCCTAACTGAACATAGTTCAGAAGACGAACGTAGGAAGTTTACAGGTAACTTTCCAAACTACAGAAACTGTAAGGTTATTATTCTTAGAATGAAGTTTAGCTTCTAAATTCTTTCTACAGTATTCATGGAGATAATTTGTTATGAAGATGTTCTTTTCTAATGTTCATCCTGCACGTAAGAAAAAATGCATGCCTTTGAAAAAAAAAAAAACAGTACTGGAAAATTAAACCTCAAGTAGTCTGTGGAAATAAGTAGAGACAAGGTAATGCCACTGGGAATGAGAGACAAGGAGTTTGGGGGGGAGGGGAGGAAACACAGAAAACTGAGTAGAATCAGCAAGGAGGCAGGGCACAGACTTCCCTTCCTACTACCTATAAATGTGTATGTGCTACAGTATCTACAGTATTGCTTATTTACAGGAGGGAGGTGCCAGTTTCAAGATATGGTATATCTTCACATTTGCTGCATGACTAAGATGGCTTAGTGACCTCTTGTTTATCTTCTGTCAAAGAAAATAAGTGTGCACCAAACTCCTCTTTTATGTGTTACTTTTTCAGGTTTACCATGTAACTGTGTAGATCAGTTTGTACCAGTATGCGGTCAAAATGGGCGCACCGTATCCAAGTGCATGTATAGCTCGATGCGTTGGTCTCCAAGACAATCAGTTTGAATTTGGATCATGTATTTCCAAGGATCCTTGTAACCCTAATCCTTGTAATAAAAATCAAAGGTAAAAGCAGAATGTTTTTAAGCTTTTCGTTGACATCTACTCATAAAGCAAATATACTTTTTTCCTTGGTGAATGAATTGTATAGTCCATTGTACTTTAGAATACTCCAATAAGAACTATTTGAAGTAGCTACTTTTTATTTATCATAGTAATGGACTGTAATAACTGCTGATTTTTTGTTCTGTTTATGTAGCACTGTATCATTTAAGTTCATTAAGCAGATCTCAGTTCTAGCACAAAAACAGAACTGATGTATAGTTTCAAAAATGGGAGAATAAAATTTTGTTGAAAAAGCAATAAATAATTGGGCATTTTACTACTTTCTTTCATACTTTTCTTCCAGAATTTACCAAAAAACAAAATCACTTGAACTGAATATTTGGATTCAAGCTTACTTATTCCGTCAGTAATCTGTGCTTTTTAATTCTGAACCGGGAAAATATTTAGCACTCTGGAAGACTTAAGTTTCTCTTACGTAGTCATATTGATATCTTGTTAAAGCCACGTCTGTGCAGTGAAACATTAAAACAAAACTTTGGTCTATACTACTAACACAAGAAAGTCAGACCTTTCTTACGGAAATCAATGTCTGCGGCTTTTAATGTTGGTCTCTGTTTTCAGTTTTCTTAGTGTTGTGTAATACTTCAGTCTCTTTGAATTTGTACATGTTCTGTTTGGAAAGAAAGCCACCATAAGAAGTTGTGTAATACTGTGCTTTCATGAAAACTAATTACAGTTTTTTTTTTCCTGCCCATTTAAATGCCTTGATGCAGAAAACTTCAGAGAAAACAAAATAGTTTTGCAGCTGTAATTGTAGCTGAAGCATTGAAAACTATCAATCTTTAAGCTGCATTGTTGGTATATATTCTTTGACTTCTATATTTTTAATTTTGCAAGTATTGAAAGACTTTCCAGATTCACAGAATAATCGTTATGCTTAGAACCTCAACTTGTTGTTTCATTAAAGACTGTACATGATAGATTATTCTGGGTCAGTTTGACATTGTAGCATAAACTAAATGTGTAAAAGCTCATTTTAAAACTGAAATGCTTAGAATATGTTTAAAATCTTACATTCCACTTCTATTTTTAAAGCATTTAAATCTCAGAATTTGAGTCTTTCCTCATATACATGTAAAATGAAAATGTGTAATGCATAATACAGCAACACTCAGATTAAGGACATATTTTACATGATTATTGTAATTTGTAGGAAAAAGGAGATAGTCAGAAAGTCATTTGACCTTTCATCAGTCTATTCTTCAAATTCTGTTGGCTGTCATCTCTTTAGTAGAGGGATGTCTTGCAGGACATACGGCAAATGCTTTGGAGATAAGACCATGGGAGGTACACATTTAATATAAAAAGGAAAGTACTTCTGATGGTTTTTGATCTTCAGTTCTATGAATGCTTGAGAGGGGTGACAGGCCAAAAATGAAACTATATTAGTACTGGATTTTTCTGTTTCTTTTAAGTCATCCCCAAGATCAGATGTGATATAATGCACTGAACCTATAAAGCTAAAATACAATGAGATATTTGTAATTGAATCCTAATAATCTTTTAAGTTGTGTTTTTATTACTCTCTCAAGAGAGGGTTGGGCTATACCTCTATAATGTAATCATTTTCATTTGCAATTCATTACAAGTTTTGGTGTTTTATCTAGTTTTCCTTAAATACATGTTTTAAAAGTGAAGCTTGAGAGTAGGTAAGAAGTTTATTCAAGACTTCTTCAGAAATCCATACTCAGTAAAATACTTGGTAAAAGATTAATTTTTATGGAACCTATAGCTGTGTGCACATACATTGACTAAATGTGGTGTGAACAAGTTCCAGGTTTGTAATGAACTTGTAATTGTCTAAATTGTCTAATCAGAATGTTTTGTCACATGCATTTCCTTCACTTCTGCTGAACCAGTGCTCTATAAAGCACTGGAAAAGATTTCACTGTTGTTTTTTTCTGACTATTTTGAGAGGGTTTTTTGGTTGGTTGGTTGTTTTTTTTTACAATGACATGAAATTATTATGACTTTATGCAGGTGCATACCAAAGAAACAAGTTTGCTTGACAAGTTTTGGAAAGTTCAAATGTAGCCAGCATGAATGTGTGCCAAGGCAATTAAATTGTGACCAGACACGGGATCCTGTTTGCGACACAGACAATGTGGAATACAATAACTTGTGTACTTTGTACCAAAAAGGAAAAACTTTAGCATATCGAGGACCGTGCCAGGTAGGAAGTGGTTCTAGCAATATTAAATCTGCTTTGTTTTTTAATGTTCCACTTTGCAATATTCTGTTTTTATAGTTTACCAAACATATTCGTAGATTGTAGTCCTTTAGAACTGTAATTTCAACTAGAATAAAAAATACTTTGCACAAAATGGTATTCAGGATTTTGTCAACTGTTTCTTTGCTTTAGTTAACAAATGTCTCAAAACCAAGCAAAACCTTTGCTTCTGCTTTCTTGGAGGAAATACTCTGATATTTGTATTAAGTCTTCCTATATTTTTCACTACTACTGCAAGCATACCTCAATGCAAGCTTTAATTAAAGCAGTTCCTTGGCTAGTAACACCAATTTTCACCAATTTGAACTTTCTGTAAATGAAAATTAATGCTTGTTTATTTCTCCATTACAGTAAATCGAATTTATTCAGAAAATGTCAGGACAATTTGACTTGCATGTTAAATTCCCCTTTTATCTGCTTAAATAGTGGAGTTAGAGGCTTGGAGTCACTGCTATCTTGTCAGCAGTAGGCTTTCTCTAGCAAGTCTTTAGCATTTTGTTTGATTGCATTCTTCCTTTAGCAATTTCATTGTTCACAATACTCTTAAGATTTTTTGAGACTAAGCAGACTATAGTATTTTCTTTAGATAGTCTGGATTGCATTGGTCTTCATATTAATCCCTCAGAAGGATTAGGATTAGGTTAGTTCTTCCATCCCACCATTCCCTACAGTATTGGTAGACAGGCTGTTTCTATCACTCTACAGACAAGCTAGGAGCTACTGTTTTCAAAGTCACTGGCTTTACCATTGATGGGCTGGTCCTTTCCAGATTTTTTCTCAAATAATGAGGACGAATTTGAGACATTCTCTTGGTCTCAACTGATGAATGTTCATAGAAGTACAGAACCCTTGTTCGGGGTTTTTCTGTGTAATAAATACACTTTTTATCCACTTCAAGTTTCTGCCTTTGTCTTTCTGTCATCTTTTTTATTCCCTTTTTCAGCAACCTCATTAAGTACAGATAATTCTTCTCATAGCATATCAGATACCTCACGAGATACTGCTCTTGAACAGTAAGAATTAAAGGATATTGCACAGCTGTTTTTTCCTACAGCACTTATATATCTAGCTGCATCCATGTTCAGAAAGTCTTTAACAGTGGTAGCTTTAAGTTTTTGCTTTTACAATTTTCCTTTTATGGGGAAGAAGACTGCAAGACATGAAACTGCTTGTGGTGCTCACATTTACTTGTCTTCTATTATTTCTGTTATTAACTTCAGCATGTAAAAGAAACTAATTGTCTTGCTACTTGAGAGGATGCACAGTGATGATAGAGGTATGGTGACTTGCTTGAAATATTAGTTTAATAAAATATTTAGAGATTAGCAAATTATGGAATGAACTGTGTAATTTCACAAGAATTGAACAAAAATATATTCATACCTTGTCTGTGAAGAATCATCAGTTCCATTTGCTTTATGTTCAGAAGCATAAGTTTGTTGGCATTTGACTTCTTGAATGTATTGGACAAATATATCTGCATAGGCAAGATAGGAAGAAAATTACATTTTTCTATGATTTTTATGTGTATTTGAATCAAATGACACATTAGATACTGGTTTTGGGAAAGAAAGTGGATATAATAAATAAATGTGTTTTTTATAGTTAGAAAGGTCTCAACAATAAATACTTTTGCCAGAAGGTATCTGGTAATAGATCCTGTTTTTCTGAAATAAATGTAGACACGTAGCTTCTCAAATAATGTGTAAGAAATGCACACGCACACACTAAATTCCAAGAACACATTGAGATGAATAAATAATTTAATAGGTTAAATGAAATTAGTTGTATTATTTAAGTATTAGAACAGATCCTACAATTTATCTTCCCCAAAACATGTCTTACTGTACATTTCTCAGATACAGCTTAGATTATTCTTTAAGTATTTATTCTCTGCATTTAATACCTGTACATAAACTGGCAGTTAATTTACTCTAGATTTACTAACAGTATTATCAGCAAGTGAACTTTGCGATGAATGTTGTTCTTCCTGATGTTATAAAATGCTCTTTATTTTTGTTTGTAGCACAAACAAACTGATCTTTAAAACATTTCTATGTATTTCAGCCATTTTGCAAATCAGTAGAACCTGTATGTGGGCATAATGGGGAAACCTACAGCAGTGTCTGCGCTGCCTATTCTGACCGTGTGGCTGTTGACTACCATGGACATTGTCAGGCTGTAGGTGTGCTCTCAGACTATAGCTTTCATACGGAGTGTGCCTTTGTTAAGTGTCCCCAGCTTTCTGCTACTGCCTGCAAACCAGTCATTGCACCAGGTATGTTGATTCATTGTTGAAGTTCACTGCAGATAGGAGAGAGTCTCCAGGCTACATGTATTAATATGTGTATATTTGGAACTAAACTTACGCTGTAAAATACTGTATTTCATTATGTCTCTGAGACCTCTAAGAGAAAGGATGAAGTGGAGGTCTTTAGTTAAGGCTAGAACAAGACAGTGTCAGGACTCAGCAGAGTAATTCTAAAGTGGAAAGGCTTTTGGTTTTATGAATCACTCTCCTTCAGTCCTTAGAAACGTGTGCAGCTTTCCTCATAGGACCTGTTTGGAGAAATGAATGAGGTCTGCGGTGTCTAGGGTAGAGTGTCAGTGGGAATTGGATGAGTAATTTTTCGGAATTGGCAGTGCAAATACCACATTGGAATGCCAAATTGTCTTCAAAGTCAAGTTCCCAGAATAACAAAACTTTTATTTAATTAGAAGACAGAGTAAGATATATTTACAGTAATGTGAAAAAGGAAGACAGTGGGAATAGTTTTTGCAGTTTTGGTATTTTGAAATGTTTTTTCATTGTCTTTACGAATACTTCTCAACAAAATGGTCAGTAACTAATCACACAGCAAGGAAAGGTCAGTTTTCAAAAAGTTCCATGTGTTTTTTTCTCAATCACTTGTTTGAAAAAGGGCCCATGTGCTTTTAGTATTATGTCTAATATTGTGAAAGTCATTCTAGGAATGTGAATTATGTAGTCGAGGGTATGAATTAAACATAAAACTATGGGTAGGCAGAAAGCTGAAATATTAGCCCTTTTGTTTCCAAGATTGTGAGGGAAAGTAGTAAGGGAAATATGACATGCTTGCATGTTAAACACAGATCTGATAGAAAGGCTGGGTTTTCTTCCCCCCTTCCTATATAAAGATTCCAAGTTCTAATATGGTACAGCCACATAAATTGATGTTTGCAATGTGCAGTTTTGCTTCTGTTATATCCTAGCTATTTCAGCTTTTGAAATTCATCACTACTTTGGTTGCATATGCATGCATGTATCCATACAGAACCTTGCCTTGCAATATTTAATGTACCTGTGTTTTTAGCTTACAATAACATATCATATTTAAACAAATAAAAGTTAATCTTGCTGCTTCACTTTAGTAGTAGTAAGTGTCTGTGTTGAAAAGTGGCTGGTTTTGCATTGCAAATGTTTTCAACATTAAAAAAAAAAGTGTGCAATTTTGCTATCAAGCTGAAAGACTTGCTTTGCTTTGGTAGTTTTGATATTTTTGTCAGTATTCAATTTTTGAGCTCTACCCACTGTAAAGTGAAAAGACAGTTTGCTTTTATTTCTGGGATTTTATGGTGTGGGGATTTTGTTTTGTTTTGTGGTTTATTTGTTTTTTTGTCACATAGGAGCCTGCTGTCCACTGTGTGCTGGAATGCTGAGGATATTATATGACAAAGACAAGCTGGACAATTTTGCAAGGGTAAAGTTCAATCATTCCTTATATTAAATGGTACATGGAAAAGTCAAGTTACTTTATACTTTTCTGTATAATACATTATACAAGCAATTACCTTTCAGTAGATAGTATATGATTTGTTGTTTTCTTCACACTGTTTATACTTCCTTTTATTTCTTAACATTCAGATATAGAAATTGAATGACAATGCAAAGCGAAGTAAAATCAGTGTAGACACAAACAAGTCTTTTAACCTTGCAGTATAAGTGACTTGTTACAGTAAAGACATGCTAAGGGAACTGCATCTATTTCATGGTAGCAATACAGTGTATATTTGTTATTTATGGCCTTTTCGTTAAGATTATTCTGCTGGCTCACTATTTACTAATATAACTTAGTTCTGACATTGTCTGATGTTTATGTTGGATTGCTTTTACGCTTTTCAGGATCATCTAGATAGTTATCACTGATTTTGCTGTTCTTCAGCTACAGTGTTGTTTTTTAATTTAACATCTCTGCAAGTTAGATACTCACATTCTTCATTGCTGCTATTTGAAAACCTCCAGTTTAGTCTGAATCTTATGATGCTGATTGTCCATCACTAAACAAAACATTCTAGGACCAACCCCACTGTTGGGTGTATAAAAGGATTACACTTCTCTGTTGGTCCTTGCTTTCATGCTTCAGTAAATGGAACAGAGCACAACACTTGATTTTCAGCACTACATTGCAACAAAATAGAGTTTATGACAACTGTGCATCTTGAAGGTATATATTAGTTGCTTTTTTCTTTTTTAGGAGTTTCCTAAAGCACCTCGATGATAACTTCTTGGTGGAGGTGCTAAGGGAGCCAACAAGGAAAGATGCCCTCCTAGATCTGTTGCTGGAGAACAGAGAGGGTCTTGTGGGGGACGTGGCAATTGGTGGCTGTCTCGGTCATAGTGACCATGAAGCGGTTGAGTATAAAATTTTTGGTGAGAGGAGGAAAACTGCCACCAAAACTTCAGCCCTGGATATGGGGAGAGCAGACTTCAGGCTGCTCAGGGAACTAGTTAGCAAGGTCCCCTGGGAAGCTGCTTTTGAAGGCATTGGCATCCATCAGTGCTGGTCAGTCTTTAAGCACTGCCTCCTAAAAACACAGGCAATTCCAAAATACTGGAAGTCAGGCAGGTAGAGTAGGGCTGACCAGGGATCTTCTTATGCAGCTTAGGCATAAAAATGAAGTGTATGGCTGCTGGAAGCAGAGTCAGGCAATATGGAAGGAGTACAGGTATGCCGTTTGCTTTTTTGTAGGGTGAGAATTCGTGCGGCCAAAGCCCAATTAGAGTTGAAGCTGGCCAGGTCTGTGGGAGACAATAAAAAGGGCTTTTTTAAATATGTGAATAGGGAATAGAGGACCAGAGAAAACATAGGTCTGCTTCCGTATGGGGATGGTCACCTCACAAGCAAGGACATAGGCAAAGCAGAGATGTTTAATGCTTATTTTGCCTCTGTCTTCAATGCTGACGATGGGCTTTGGGACCCCCCTGTGCCCTGTGCAGGAGGACCGTGATGATGGGAATGATAAACTCCCAAACGACCCTGAACACATGCGGGATTTGCTGCTCCACCTGGATCCATACATGTCCATGGGTCCAGATGGGATTCATCCCAGGGCGCTCAGAGAGCTGGCTGATGTCATCACAGGACACCTCTCAATTATTTTTCAACGGTCTTGGGAATCTGGAGAGGTCCCAGTTGACTGGAAGCTGGCAAATGTTGTGCCAGTTTTCAAGAAGGGCAGGAAAGAAAACTGACTATAGGCCTTTCAGTCTCACATCAGTGCCTGCTAAAATTATGGAGAAGATTATCCTCAAAGTTATTGAAGTGCACCCGGGGGACAATGCAGTCATTGGTCCCAGCCAAAATGGGTTCATGAGGTTTAGGTCCTGTTTAACAAATTTGATTTCCTTTTATAAGATCACCCATCTAGTGGATCAAGGGAAACTAGCTGATGTGATCTTTTTGGATTTCAGTAAAGCTTTTGACACAGTTTCCCATAAAATCCTACTGGACAAAATGTCCAGCATACAGCTAAACAAAAACATCATCCGATGGGTGAGCAATGGGCTGACGGGCAGGGCTCAAAGGCTTGTGGTAAATGTGGTTACTTCAGGCTGACAGTCAATCACCAGTGGGGTCCCCCAAGGGTTCCATTTTAGGGCCAGTGCTCTTCAATGTTTTTATAAGTGACAGTGGATGTAGGACTGGAAGGTGTTTTGACAAATTTGCTGATGACACCAAACTGGGAGGAGTTGTTGACTCTGTTGAGGGTGGAAAGGCCTTGCAGAGAGATCTGGACAGATTGGAGAGCTGGGTGATTACCAACTGCGTGAAGTTTAACAAAGGCAAGTGCTGGGTCCTGCACCTGGGATGGGGCAACCCTGGCTATACGTACAGACTAGGCAATGAGATGCTGGAGAGCAGTCCCGCAAAGAGGGATCTGGGGGTTGTGGTTGACAGCAAGTTGAATATGAGCCAGCAGTGTGCCCTGGCAGCCAGGAGGGCCAACCGTACCCTGGGGTGCATCAAGCACAGCATCGCTAGATGAGGTGATTGTCCAGCTCTACTCTGCACTGGTGTGGCCTCACCTCAAGTACTGTGTGCAGTTCTGGGCACCACAGTACAAGAAGGACATCAAAGTGTTGGAGAGTGTCCAGAGAAGGGCTACAAAGATGGGGAAGGGCCTAGAGGGGAAGACGTATGAGGAGCGGCTGAGGGCACTGGGCCTGTTCAGTCTGGAGAAGAGGAGGCTGAGGGGAGACCTCATCACGGCCTACAGCTTCCTCACCATGGGGAGTGGAGGGGCAGGCGCTGATCTGTTCTCTTTAGTGACCAGTGATAGGAGCCACAGGAATGGAGTCAAGCTGCGACAGGAGAGGTTCAGGCTGGATATCAAGAAGAGGTTCTTCACCGAGAGGGTGGTCGCACACTGGAACAGGCTCCCCAGGATGTAGTCACTGCACCAAGCCTGTCAGAGTTTAAGAAGCCATTGGACTGTGCACTTACTCACATGGTCTAAAGTTTTGGGTATACCTGTGTGGTGCCAGGAGTTGGACTTGATGATCCTTATGGGTCCCTTCCAACTCGGGATATTCTGATTCTATTCATCCTTGCCAGTCCCACTCAACCTTTCTGAAGCAAAGTCAGTTTTTATTTCCAGATGATTGCAAATGCAGCTTGGACAAACAGTTCACATCCCTCTTGCGACACCTTGGTATTGGTCTGTTTAGATCTCCCAAAGCAATCTATTCCATCTTGCAGAGAAATTCCCATCATCATTCTCCTCATTCCTGGTGGCTCTTGGAACACCTAGATTCTGTGATGGGTAAAGGAGTGCCAGTTGGTAGGTCTTCTCTGCCTGATGTTTTGAGTACAAGCAACTGTGACAGATGACTGTTTATGTTATTTTGAGGGATGTGATACACAGGCATACCAGCTATGAAGGTGGAAGACAACATATATCAAAAAAACATGGTTAATTTAAGAAGTCATTTATTCCTAACCCCTTATCTTACCCTTTTCTTTTTGTTATAGATAGCTGAGTAGTTTAATGGCTAAAAGATTTTCTAGCATGATACTAAGTTTTTTAAAACTGGAGTAGAAACGTAATTTTGCATAATATCACATCATCCAGGATGTTCTTTGTTTTCTCCCAGGTAACAAATAAAAAGCCTATAACTGTACTTGACATACTTGAAAAAATCCGCTTGCATGTCTCTGTGCCACAGTGTGATGTGTTTGGATATTTAAGCATAGAATCTGAAATTGTGATTCTCATCATTCCTGTGGATCAGAACCCCAAACCATTGCAGGTAGGCTATATTCTTATTTTGTTTACCCAGTATGGATTTTCTTTTTTTTTTTTTTTTTTTTTATGTATACACTTTATTACTTTCAATATAGCAGTTTTAAAGTTGTTCATTTTCTTGTGTGCTGAATGCATGGGGATTTTTCTAATTACTTGAATCCGAATAGTATTATTAATGGTAAAATGTGTCTTGAGAATCCTGCTGTCTTGGTAAGAGGTTTTTGAGTATGGGTAGTTAAAGGGGCAAGGTGAATGATGGAGTTACATATTTTTTTTGTTTTAAAATGAATATGTGCAGAACCTCCAACATTTTATGGCTAAAATAACGGAAAATATAAACTGATGAAAATATATTTATTACTGAATACCTTAAATTATATTAATTGTAAAATAAATGGATACTTGTGTATGAAATGGTGCTCTTCTGTCTCTAGTATTAGTCTTAAAAGTAGGTTGAAGTACATGAGATATTAGACTGAAGCACATACATATTGCTGCATTGTGCTTGTCTTGATGTTAAGCAGCAGTTCATGCCAAAGGGAATCTGCTGATACTATATTCTAAGATCAACCTGGTTTTGATGATCCTTTCCAACTCAAGGTAAAAAGCGCAGGGAGATCCCAAAATCCTGTTACGATCTTAAAAGGGAAATGCAAGTCCAGTAAGTTCTCCAGCACGCCATGTCATAGCTAATTCCTGCTAGCAAATAAGCACCAAAAGCTCACAGTACTAAACTCTAAATGTAAACCAACAAATGCAGGCCAATGTTCTTACAGTATTTTCTTAGGAACGCTTTAGAACAGTAGAAGTAGGACTTTGGCTGTGTATTGCATTTGGATTATTTTGGAGCTCTCGCTTCATTTTTACTTTCTGATCATTAAACTGTGCAAGACCAGCAAGGATGTCTTCTTCCTATTAAAAGCAACATTTTAATACCAATTTTAGTGCCTTGCCATTTTACAGTTGTTTCCCATAGTCTTGCTTGGCCCTGTTGACAGCACATTATAATGAAGTCCTTTTGGGGTGCTCTGACTGGTTCATTCATTCATCTTACATATTGATGTGCACTACTTTAAAATGGAAGATTTAGTTTTGAGAACAAAAAAAGAGGAGAAAACAATCTCATCTTTTACAGTTTAGGCGGGTTCACTTCTTTGCTGTTTGTTTTATATCAATGACTGCTTCCCTTTCCTTTTTATTTCTACAGTCTAATTTTGCATTTTCAGTATTGCTTCTGGGATGGGCTAAAGTTCAGGTATAGAGTGAGTGGGCAGATTTGCTGCCAAAAATTTTGCAAGCTGCAGTATCAAATAGGGCAGTTGTGACTTTGCTACTGGAGCAAACCTGTTATGTCCAAGTCTGCTCAACTTTTAACAGAAATATTATTCCTTGAACAGGAATAGCTCAGAATTTTACCAGAACTTAAGAAACAAGGTCTTGAGCCTTAACCAATCTGATCAGCTCTCACCCAGTCTGCAGCAGATGCTGTGAGACCCTGGGGGAGAGGAGGACGGTCTGAAACCAGAGAATAGCTGCTCAGCTCACTGCTGACACCTGTTACTGAGGTGTCACTAGAAGTTACTCAACTTTCAAAGCTTTGGGACCTCAGATGTTTAGTTTGTCAAGTTAAAACTTTATCAGCAACAGCTTCCGAAGCTGATAAAGAAGCTTAATACTAAATTTATTCCTGGATATATTAGAAGCAAAGGTGGAAAAAATGGATTTTATAAATAAATTTGTTTATCATTATGTCAGTGGGAAAATGAAAAGTGAACGATGTTATCTTGATTTTCTCAGGCTTTCCTATTATTTCCATTCTTCTATTCCTTTCCCATAATAGTAATCAGATTTCCCTGATTGGGAAGAAAAAGCCCTGTGACTAGAAAATCCCAATTTTCCACTGTTGCAGACTTCAAGGCACTGTATCTTGGTCAATCAGAAAGGAGCTCCTCAATTTAGAGGTATTAACTAATAATTTATAGTGAGCTTTTTGGAGTCCACATTCAGGAACATCATCCATTCTATCAAGCTTCCTTTATTTCTCTGTTGCTGCTACTCGGGGCTTCTGCAGAAGTTTTCCTAGTGCCAAAGTCTATGAGCTCCAGTATGTTGTTTAATGACTACTCCAAATCATCTATGTAAATTTTACATGTCGATTGGAATAATTCAGATTTTCCTTTCTAAATTTTGCAATCTAGAAATAGTTTTGCATTGGCATTTTACGTGACAAGAAGAGAAATAATAATACTTTTCTTCCTAGATTGAAGCCTGCAATAAAGAAGCAGAAAAGATAGAGTCACTGATAAATTCAGACAGTCCAACATTAGCATCACATGTGCCGCTGTCAGCTCTAATTGCATCCCAAGTACAAGTTTCATTTAGCATTTCTTCTACTTCTGTTAAAGTGTTGTCTGTTCTGCACTCCCTGTTCATAAGCCTTTTATTTACTTTGTTAACATTAATGTGTTATATATAGCTGCTTAGAAAATATGCATGAGTATTGAGGGTGTTTTGTATTGTGAAGGACATTGAGAATTGTTGATCACTGAACCAGAAAACAAAAATTCCAGAACACTTGGTGTACTATTTTTCACTGAAGAATGAAGAATATTTGGAATAATGTGAAATGTGATTCTTTTATTCATTACTAGTCAGATGTTTTTTTCAGCACAATTAGATCATTTTCCACTGATCTTGCAATCATAAAAGTACTCTGGAAGGTTCTGACATTATAGATTTATGATTTTTGAAAGAAGGGATCTTACAGTTGTTTTTTTTTTCAGAAATGAACAAATAGTGTTTTGAGTTTATTGAAAAAATTTAATTTTATATTATTGAGATGAATATCAGTGACAACAAAAAGTATGCACCTATTCTAAACATCATTTTTGGAAGAAAAAAAATGCTGCTACTTAATTACCTTACCAAAAATATGAGAGTTTATTCTCATGTAAATACACTTTCATATTTTATTATGAAGAAAACTAGCCCTGGGCCTATTTCAGCAGACATCTTTACTTGGACTAGTGAAGATTTGCAGGACATTGGGCTCAATGCTTGTGAAATGACAATCAAGCTCTATACTAGTACCTGACTTCAATGAAGAAATATGTTCTTTTTATAATTTTGTACATTTCAGAATCTCATATTGGATGCAAAATTATAAAGAATCTCAGTATCTATATTTAAGTGCCATTTAAAATATTGCAGTATTTGCATGTTATCTAATGAAATTTATACTTTAAATATGTTTAAATGATTATACAAACAGTATGTTTTATTACTTATTTTATTTTATGCACATGACCTTAGTCTACATGAAGTATTTTATATCAGTATTATGATAACCAACTTTTGAAGTATATACAGAAAAACTTATTTTTGCCAAAATGCTGAACGTTGAAAGAAAGCACTGAAAACTTTTCAAACATGTATGTTACTGTAGCATGTCTGTAGCAATTATTTTCTGCTAAATCTTTTAAACACAAAAGTATTAAAGCTTTTTTATTTTAATAAAACTGTTGTGTGTCCTTATATATGAACATATGCAATTTTATAGAAGTCTGCATTACAGTGCTTCTTTTTTCTTTCTCAAATCAACACTTAGAACTGCAATTACATACCTATGTAGTCTGTAGTTATGTACATATTTATATAATATTATGTAGTCTTATATAGCTTAATCTTTCCAAAGAAAGTAAATTTCAAGTCTTTGTTTCTTTTCTTTTTTCTTACCAAATTTCTTTGTAATGTCACATGCATGCAAATCAATGCAATGAGTGTCAGACTTGTTTGACAGAAGATTTATCAATATGTTTATGAGATCTTCTTTGTACAGTTATTGTCATCCACAGTTTTGATTTGGAAGACACTTTCCTCACCCTGTGCAGCTGGAAATCTGCACAAATGTTAAGGACATACCTAATACCTTATTTATACCTAAACTTTAAGGCTAAACCTCCTCCAAAGCAAACTAGTCTGGTGACTAGATGAAAATTCTTGCAAGTCCTCAGAGAGAATTTATTTGAAACCTCCATCAGCTGCTTTTCTATGTATTATCTGTTGTTGTGGTGGTCTATGAGTAAGTGGAGAGTAGTTTTATATTTGTTGTGCTCTCTATATGGTTCCTGAATTCTTACAGTAGGTTAGTACAAATTCAGCTATTCTTGAGAACTGTTCTCACCAAGTATCTCCAGGAAGACCGATGCACGTAATCACCAGTCTTGACAGAAAGAACTTGCTGAGTATCTTCACCTGCTTCTAAGATTCTTTTGTGTATGAAAAAATTGGACACAAGTGTAATGAATACATTTGAACAGATTTTTTTTTTCCTAACTGGAGTGGCTGAGATGATCTCACCAAAAACTGCAAGTAGTTCAGATTTATTGAACTCCTTCTTTTTCTAAATCATGAGTCAGTACCTCTTTAACATCTATCTTACAGCCTTGCTCAGTGCTTAGCTGAAGCAATCTGATATCTACTAAAATTAAATATGCGCCACACTGGAAGAAGAAAGAAAGATCTTAAAAGCCTATCTTCAGTAGAACTGCATAAGCATATATTGTGACTTCTTTTTGTACAGCTGTAAAGATTTTATTTAATGAAAGCTAATATAAAAACAGTTGTCTCAATTTGTACAATGAATTAAGAATCTGGAAAAAGAGGAATTTCAATCCAGGGATTTTTTCAGTCACATGTGAATGTCTGGTACTTTGTGGAAAACAGTGAAGTTCTTGAATGGTTATGTTAAATACAGGCAGAACTAATGAAATTTAGTGTAATCCTGAATATAAATCCAGCATCCAAGACATACAAGGCTTAGGTTCTTTTTGCTGAATGAACAAAATTAGTTGAATATTTTCTAGGTATTCTCAGGATTTCTGGCTCCCTCAAAGGAATGAAGAAACTGATTTACTTACGGGTTTTGAATTCAAAAGAAGCAGAAGAGACAGCGTAAACCAAGCACAATTTTACTTGAAAAAGTGAAAGTTGTGAAATTTGAGCTTACTGGGGAGACATTTGATAGAGGTGTCAGATGATTTTTCATTTAACTTTAATGAAGTTCTGTCAATCTCTGAATGGAAATCTGGGTTTTCTTAAGAAGGGATGGAGAGAAATTCAAAGCACCATAAGACTGGTTGTTGTTTTTCTACAGGGTATGGCTGTAACATATACAAAACATTTTCTCATCTACTGGAAACCAGAGTTAACATCAATAACTGGTTCTAGAGAGATGCTTCATCCCTGTTTCTGTTTGTTTAGTTTGACTATTTTCAACAGAGTGGTAGTACGGCTGATATGCCAGCAGTGCACGTTCATACACCAGGAACAGTTCATACACCTTACACCTGGTCCCCAGGAGTGGACCAGCCAAGGAAACAAGTATCAGAGTAAGGGATTTCTGGGTTATAGTTTCTATTGAGTTTTGAGCCCAGGAGGAGCCAGGATCTCTGAATTTTCATTAAGGTAATAGTTCAGTTCCATGAGAAGCAGTTCTCTGGGGAGCTGGAGATCATGAAATCTGCACTTAGAGCCACAGTGTCATTTCATAGCCCTGCTCTTCATTTGTGCTCTAGCACCAAAAAAAAACTAGGAAAGGAGGAAACAAAGTTATAGCTGGAGCTGCCAGTGGAGAAGACAAGAAAGAACAAGAGAAGTTAAACCTTCTGCAACGTATTTGAACACCTCAAGTTGCTGGATCATTTATCTATCATTCAAAAAGGATATCATGTGTTACTTTAAAATCTGAACCTCTAATTTGAAAGTCTGAATAATACACTCTCGGCACCAGCACCATTTTCTTCTTTGATGCTAGTACTGGGAAGACTGGTGTAGGGTCAAGAACGTAATTTGATGCATGCAATCCAGTTCCAGTTCACAAAGCTAACATCCCACCCTTGCTGATGGTCATCAGGGCAGAGTGCCCGTTGCCTAATTAATTCAAAATTATCTTCTTCACTTCCAAATGGGTTGTAAGCTAGAATAACACACTGACTCTGATAATGCAATTAATCGGATCTTTCTCCAAAAACATCCATGCCCGATGGCTTTCAGTCGTACACTTGTACTGTCAGTTCAACATTTTGCTTTCCTGGTGAAGGTCAATGCATAAAATACCTACCTGTATCATAGTCTTTAAGACTTTATGCTATTGATGGCAAGAACCGCTATTTCTTTGACAAACAGCCAAAACAAAGTAAGAACAGTACTTTCAAAGACACCCAAAGCCTGAAATGATTTCATTATGAAGTGCATTTTAACATACCACTAACAAGTAACACCTTATGCAGAGTGAGAAGACAGGCATCCAGTCCATATTAATGTTGCAGGTATCTGCAGAACCACGTTCTTCTCAAATGCACAGGGCAGTACTGTAAGCACACGCTGCACATGCCCTGTTAAAACTCAATGTTAAACTAAAATTCAAAAGAAACAGATAAAGACTATGCCATAAATGTCTGGGGATGCTGTTCTTAAGTAAAAAAAGAAATACGTATGGTCACAGTTGCAACTTGCCCCTCGTCAGAGCAGCAGAAACAGTGATGGCACTAAATCATGCTGTTAGGTCAGACTTTAAATGCAGCACCACCAAGTTCTGCTTCACTCATTAATACCTTCACAATTTATTTTCAAATACCTTGTGCAATGGAAGGAGTGAAAATTCATATGAACTTTAAGATAAGCCATGCATATTTTTGGAACCTTTTTTTTTTTTTTTTTGTATTTTTCCCCTTGCTATTTATTAGACTCCTTTTTTCTTTCCATATATCTGTACTTTGCTACTTGACTTCAAGCATCTTTCCCCCTGCAAGTGCCCACAGTTAAGTTTGACAATTTTATATGTTTGAAAACTGCATGGCCAGGTGGAGCAGGACTACATTTATAGAGGCATCTGTTAGGAATTACAGACCTGAAACTATGAAGGAGCTACTTCAGTAAGCCCCTAATTTTTGCTGAACAATTTAAAGCAGTGAAGGACAAAAACCATCTTATCCTGTGGCCAACTACTGTAATTTGAAAACTAATCATACTGGTGCTTTGGTTTTTGTCCATCAAGAAAAAGTCAGTTTAGCAAACACTAAGAACTTAACCCCTAGAACACATGCAGAACCAGTGCGACCAAATCCCATTAGAGTAACAATCCTCCCTATTACACATTCAAATAATAAGCCATTGCAGTATTTCACAAACATGATTTTTCCTGCTCAAAAACTTGAGGCCACAACAAAGCATTTCTCAAATACAAATGCTTCTACGTAACCAATAGATTCCAGAAAAATAAACACAGTTTTATTTCCATGAAGAACAAATGCTTGCCACAATCTGCCTGTGAACCAACTAGGCATTCCTTCCAAATGAATTTCTTTTACAGCGGATCAGAGCTTTACCTGCATGCTTTAAGGATTTACATTTGGATGGCCTACTGCAGACAGAGTAGCTCATTTGGTTAGCTCTGTCTTTCCCAACAGCAGACACCAGGAGCGTTAAGCTTCTTTCCTTACAAAGAGAGATGTGCACTTACCAGACTACCCACCGTGTACTCCTAGACAGGTGCAGCAGCATCTTCCCGGAGAAACAATTTCTCACCAACTGACTTCACACTTCAGAAGCCTATAGCAAGGCTTAATTTAGGTTTAATTTTTTTTTTAACCAGGGTCCTCAGCTTTTCTGATCACCACAACTATATTGTAACCTGTGCTTTGACATTTCAGATGCTCATTTCACATTTCAAGATGTTTGTTGTTTATTTCTGGAGTCCTAATTTAATGAAGGAAGGATAATTTAGCGATAGTAAATTAGTATCAAGACTTCAGTTTCCTGGAAAAGCAACCAGCCACCAGCTGTCAGAGAATTTAATGCACAGTATTACTACAAGGCACTATTTCATTTTATTATCTACCTAAAGCATCTGGATCTAGGTCCTACTTTACTGTTATGTCTTTTTCAACACCAAGTTCCCTGAATATTTTATTTCATAAATAAATAAATGGGGGGGCACCACCCACGATTATTTGCGCACACATCTAAGAGAAGGTTAGAAAGCTGGTTTATTTAAAACTGTGAAATCCAAATATATAAAATGCTGAACATCACCACTAGATGCTGTGTAGGAAAATAAAAACAACAATAAAAATCTTTGCTCTTTACAGATACCTTAAAGGAGGCTGCAGTGAGGTGGGGGTTGGCCTGTTCTCCCATGTGACTCGTGACAGGATGAGGGGGAATGGGCTTAAGTTGCGCCAGAGGAGTTTTAGGTTAGATGTTATGAAGAACTTCTTTACTGAAAGGGTTGTTAGACACTGGAACAGGCTGCCCAGGGAAGTGGTGGAGTCACCATCCCTGGAAGTCTTTAAAAGACGTTTAGATGTAGAGCTTCGGGATATGGTTTAGTGGGGACTGTTAGCGTTAGGTCAGAGGTTGGACTCGATGATCTTGAGGTCTCTTCCAACCTAGAAATTCCGTGAGTCTGTGAAACTGTTTCCTTGATGCCCCAACCATAGATGAACTCTGATTTGAC